GCTGTATTTTTAAAGTGTGCGATTTAAAGCAAAACGAAATTCAGTTCACACATCTATAAACGATTCTTAATAAGACTGCTGATTTGGATTTGCGTTATTTTCAATTTGAAAAAATTCATTTTTGACAGTTTTGTTTAAACTGCTGTATTTTTTAAAGTGTGCGACTTAAAGCGAAACGAAATTCATTTACACAACTATAAACGATTCTTAATAAGACTGCTGATTTGGATTTGCGTTATTTTCAATTTGGGGAAAAACTTGAACTTATGATTTTTCCACTTACGATGCGAGCGATCGACGTACTATCATTTTCGGTATTAAAAAAATTAATTCATTATAGTCAGCTGTCAGATTCACATTAATATATATAAAAACACATTTTCAAATGCGTTCAAAGTCTTTAAGCGAAGATAGATCGATTTCGATGTGCAAGCGAAAATTTAAAAAGTGACAAGATTTAAGATATGTGAAATATACATGTTCAGTCGTGTTTAGAATCGTTTCTTGTGGTTCGGGACATTCGCCTTCGAATGTTCATCGATGTAGAAACAGAATTTAAAATCTTGAAATTTGAAAAAATTTATTTTCGACAGTTTTGTTTAAACTGCTGTATTTTTAAAGTGTGCGACTTAAAGCGAAACGAAATTTAGTTCACACATCTATAAACGATTCTTAATAAGACTGCTGATTTGGATTTGCGTTATTTTCAATTTGAAAAAATTCATTTTTGACAGTTTTGTTTAAACTGCTGTATTTTTTAAGTGTGCGACTTAAAGCGAAACGAAATTCAGTTCACACATCTATAAACGATTCTTAATAAGACTGCTGATTTGGATTTGCGTTATTTTCAATTTGAAAAAATTCATTTTTGATCGTTTTGTTTAAACTGCTGTATTTTTAAAAGTGTGCGATTTAAAGCAAAACGAAATTCAGTTCACACAACTATAAACGATTCTTAATAAGACTGCTGATTTGGATTTGCGTTATTTTCAATTTGAAAAAATTCATTTTTGACAGTTTTGTTTAAACTGCTGTATTTTAAAAGTGTGCGACTTAAAGCGAAACGAAATTCAGTTCACACATCTATAAACGATTCTTAATAAGACTGCTGATTTGGATTTGCGTTATTTTTAATTTGAAAAAATTCATTTTTGATCGTTTTGTTTAAACTGCTGTATTTTTAAAGTGTGCGATTTAAAGCAAAACGAAATTCAGTTCACACAACTATAAACGATTTTAATAAGACTGCTGATTTGGATTTGCGTTATTTTCAATTTGAAAAATTCATTTTTGACAGTTTTGTTTAAACTGCTGTATTTTTAAAGTGTGCGACTTAAAGCGAAACGAAATTCATTTCACACACTATAAACGATTCTTAATAAGACTGCTGATTTGGATTTGCGTTATTTTTAATTTGAAAAAATTCATTTTTGATCGTTTTGTTTAAACTGCTGTATTTTAAAAGTGTGCGATTTAAAGCAAAACGAAATTCATTTCACACAACTATAAACGATTCTTAATAAGACTGCTGATTTGGATTTGCGTTATTTTCAATTTGAAAAATTCATTTTTGACAGTTTGTTTAAACTGCTGTATTTTTTAAAGTGTGCGACTTAAAGCGAAACGAAATTCAGTTCACACATCTATAAACGATTCTTAATAAGACTGCTGATTTGGATTTGCGTTATTTTTAATTTGAAAAAATTCATTTTGATCGTTTTGTTTAAACTGCTGTATTTTTAAAAGTGTGCGATTTAAAGCAAAACGAAATTCATTTCACACAACTATAAACGATTCTTAATAAGACTGCTGATTGGATTTGCGTTATTTTCAATTTGAAAAAATTCATTTTTGACGTTTTGTTTAAACTGCTGTATTTTTAAAAGTGTGCGATTTAAAGCAAAACGAAATTCATTTCACACAACTATAAACGATTCTTAATAAGACTGCTGATTTGGATTTGCGTTATTTTCAATTTGAAAAAATTCATTTTTGACAGTTTTGTTTAAACTGCTGTATTTTTTAAAGTGTGCGACTTAAAGCGAAACAAAATTCAGTTTACACATCTATAAACATTTCTTAATAAGACTGCTGATTTGGATTTGCGTTATTTTCAATTTGGGGAAAAACTTGAACTTATGATTTTTTTACTTATGACGCGAGCAATTAACGTACTATCATTTTCGGTATTAAAAAAATTAATTCATTATAGTCAGTTGTCAGATTCACATTAATATATATTAAAAACACATTTTCAAATGCGTTCAAAGTCTTTAAGCGAAGATAGATCGATTTCGATGTGCAAGCGAAAAATTTAAAAAGTGACAAGATTTAAGATATGTGAAATATACATGTTCAGTCGTGTTTAGAATCGTTTCTTGTGGTTCGGGACATTCGCCTTCGAATATTACATCGATGTAGAAAGCAGAATTTAAAAATCTTGAAATTTGAAAAAATTCATTTTCGACAGTTTTGTTTAAACTGCTGTAATTTTTAGAGTGTGCGACTTAAAGCGAAACGAAATTTAGTTCACACATCTATAAACGATTCTTAATAAGACAGCTGATTTGGATTTGCGTTATTTTTAATTTGAATAAATTCATTTCTTACAGTTTTGTTTAAACTGCTGTATGTTTTAAAGTGTGCGACTTAAAGCGAAACGAAATTCAGTTCACACAACTATAAACGATTTTAATAAGATTGCTGATTTGAATTTGCGTTATTTTTAATTGGGGAAAAACTTGAATTTTTGATTTTTCGATTGACGACGCGAGCGATCGACGTACTATCATTTTCGGTATTAAAAAAATTATTTCCTTATAATCAGCTGTCAGATTCACATTAATATATATTAAAAACACATTTTCATGTGCGTTCAAAGTCTTTAAGCGAAGATAGATCGATTTCGATGTGCAAGCGAAAAATTTAAAAAGTGACAAGCTTTAAGATATGTCAAATATACATGCTCAATCGTGTTTAGAATCGTTTGTTGTGGTTCGGGACATTCGCCTGCGAATGTTCCATCGATGTGCAAAGCAGATTTTAAAATCTTGAAATTTGAAAAAATTTATCTTTGACAGTTTTGTTTAAACTGCTGTATTTTTTAAAGTGTGCGACTTAAAGCGAAACGAAATTCGCTTCACACATATATAAACGATTCTTAATAAGACTGCTGATTTGGATTTGCGTTATTTTTAGTTTGGGGAAAAACTTGAACTATTGATTTTTCGACTGACGACGCGAGCGATCGACGTATTATCATTTTCGGTATTAAAAAAATTATTTCTTATAATCAGCTGTCAGATTCACATTAATATATATTAAAAACACATTTTTAAGTGCGTTCAAAGTCTTTAAGCGAAGATAGATCGATTTCGATGTGCAAGCGAAAAATTTAAAAAGTGACAAGCTTCAAGATATGTCAAATATACATGCTCAATCGTGTTTAGAATCGTTTCTTGTTGTTCGGGAAATTCGCCTGCGAATGTTACATCGATGTGCAAAGCAGAATTAAAAAATCTTGAAATTTAAAAAAATTCATTTTTGACAGTTTTGTTTAAATTGCTGTATTTTTTAAAGTGTACGACTACCAGCGAAACGAAATTCACTTCACACATCTATAAACGATTCTTAATAAGTCTGCTGATTTGGATTTGCGTTATTTTCAATTTGGGGAAAAACTTGAACTTTTGATTTTTCGACTGACGATAACGTTTTAATTGTTCACAATCAAATAACGAAAGTTTACATTCTGAATTTGGCAATGCATATGCTTGTTTCTCGAGTAAAATGCTTGCAGAATTTTATAATTTATATGATGATTAGATACCCAATTTTATGTATTATATTAGTCGATTGCTTTATTTTAGGATTATTTTTTAAATACTAAATATTTCCCTTGTTTAATATGTTGATATTATTAGGATAAATGTGCAGAACAAATATGTTATTCTATTTTTCTTTTGTTATTCTTTGTTTATAAAGCTGTGTAAAGGAGAATTCTAATTGTAAATAAAAGAAAACTAATTTATTAGAGCAATTGTAGAAAATAGAAAATGATTATTAATAATATATTAATTATTGCTTATATGAGTTAAACATTTGATCTATATAATTCATTATTAGGCATATTAAGCTTTATATTTTAATCATTATCGATTTTTTCTATTTACTAAAATTCCTTTATTTCAAATAATTTTTTTTTTTTTTTTTTTTTTTTCATTAACAGTTAGAATTTCTTTTGCACAGCTTTATAAACAAAAGATAGACAAAAGAAAAACAGAATTTATATATTATTAATAATATATATTTATTGTTTATATAGGCAATAAATAATATATATAATAATATATACATATAATACTTATTTTTTTGCACCGTTGTGGGCTATCGCGACAGGGAAGCGTTATTTTATTTTAATTTGCCGAAATTTTATTATGTACATAATTTTAATTTGCCGAATTTCCGTAATGCATATAATTTTAATTCACCGAATTTTATTATGTACAAAATTTTAATTTCTTATTTTTGTTATGTACACAATTTTTATTCGTGAATTTCTATTATGTTCATAATTTTAATTTGTCGAATTTATATTATGTACATAATTTTTATTTTAAAATTATTATTACGTACATAATTTTAATTTCCAAATTTCTAATATTATGGACATAATTTTAATTCATTGAATTTCTAATTTCTATTAAGTCCATAATTTTAATTCACCGTATTTCTTTTATCTAAATAATTTTAATTTGCTCAATTTCTATTATGTATATAATTTTAATTTGTCGTATTTTTTCTATGTAAATAATTTTAATTCTTGAATTTCTATTATGTTTTAAATTTTTATTCGCCGAATTTTTACTATGTACAGTACATAAGTATTCTTGAATTTCTATAATGCGTTATAATTTAATAATTTGTTTGGCGCGCGCAAAGCGCACGCTTGTATTATAAATTTGTAAAAAAATGTTAATTTGTTTAAAGTTTACGTTTGCTGCTAATTTATATGCATAATGTTGTTTAATTCCAGCGCCTTTAATTACAGAATCTATGAAAAATTTATTCATCCGCGATGTTCTTCCATGCCAGCTGCGTCTTGATCTCTTGGAGATGACTCAGCTTCATGAGAAGAGAGACGCTGATTACTCTTCATCCTGCTGGATTCTCGAGCTCGTCGGTATGGCATTGACTCCATGTATTCGACTACCTTCGAAGAAAGAAAGAAAGAGAAAAGGAATACAAGGTTAGCGTATCGCAAAGTTCGTTTCACCGGAGTAATTAAAGTTTCCTGCATTTCAGCCGCAAAATCGACGTTGCGTAGCATGCGGCCTGCTTTTCGATCGATAATACTTTTATCGAACAAGGAGAAATAAAAATCAATGTCCTTTTACTAAATGAATTAGGGTCAGTACCGGACAGCTTGTACGGAGCATATGACCTAAGATCGCATTAAAGATGTCTGGAGCTGATATAGAAATCGTTAATAATAGAGACGCACGTTGTCTAAATAAAAGATCAATTAATTAAATGAAATAATTGGCCTGAATATATTTTAAGAAGTTAAAAATATTTCTAATGACACCCTAGATTCGCGAACCAGATATCTTAATTAAACAGAATAAATATTTAATTATTTATGGCTAAACTATAAATATTATTTGAAATAAAATAAAATTTATAAATAATAAAATAATAATAAATTTTTAATTCTACAAATTAGAAAAAATGTGAAAATAAAAAATAAAAAACATAAATTGCAACATAATTTATGACAACACAATTGCTGTCAAGTATAAATCGTATACAGACGAAATAAGATCAATATAAAAAAATTTATTGAAGCACAATCAATTGCACGTCGAAATATGAGAGATGAAGTACAAACTTCACGATGATGAGCCGTGAAGGTTTTGTGGAACAGTTTGATAATTAATTACACGCTCCAACGGCATAAATCTCTTTCTGTCTAGGTATACATTAAGCGTATCGTTTTATATGAAGTGTTTTGCACGATCAATGTGCTCCGTAATGAATGCGGTCGACATAATGAATTAATGATACACAACACTCATGACTGATCATTGAACATGCTTCGTTTTCTAGCAAATGTAACAGGCATTGATTTAATTTTAATGAATATTATTGCTGCAATTCAAACAATTAAATAGAGAAATATTGTTTCTATTTTTTTAAAGATGACACATCTTGCATTTATGAATATTTATACCGAAAGCGGTCTGTTTCTGATAATTTGAGAGTCATATTAATTATATGCATATATTAAACTTATAAAATAATATTTTAAATAATTATTTCAAAAAACATTTAACACACGCAGATTATTATATTATATACATTTTAAAAGATTTAAAAAATATGTAAATAACCTTATTGTTATAATCGAGGTAGCCTGTTAAAATCTCATATGCGATTACACCACTAATGCTAAGAAGAAATATTCGTTGTAATAAAATCTTGCTGAAGAACCATTTAAATTTAACCATGATGTATCTGAAATTTAATCATATAATTAAAATTAAATATTAAAGAGCAGCTGATCGAAAGAAGAATTAATGAATGTCTTACTCAGTTTGACTAGACAGTTTGTATATCCACTTAAAAACTATTTATTAAGCAAATACATCTTGCAAAAAGATAAATACTAAATATTTTTGTGTATTGTGAGCGAGTATAAACATTAAAAAATTTCTCGAAATTGGGGTTCTCGAATTGCATCCTGCTATGAAGTTTGATTCATAGCATATATATATTTACGCTACAATTTGATTTGATAAGAGTTAGATGACTAATTTCATATTGAACAAAAAAAGGAGAATTAATTATTTAATAAATAGATAACGAAGTAAGAGAATAAGAATATTAAAATAATTGATTTGATTTTTAAATTTGTTTGTAAAATAAAACATTTATATTGCATTATAAATATTAATAATAGTGCTATTTTAAGTCAATAAAAAAAATTTTTTTTATTTTGATATGCAGAAAAAAATCATTTCACTTATTATAAATATTTAAAAAATTGTTTCAAAAATATATAATATAAACACACACAAGCACGTATATAGAACATATATGCATGTATATATTTTATATTTATTTTTCAAAAATGTGTATTATTTGTAATAAGACTTTATATATAATTTCTATATAATTTTTAACTTATATATAACTACTCGCGAGAAAGTTGCAAAATTTTCGTTAATAAGTCACAATATAATAGTGTAATAATATAATATATTACATATAATAACATTTTTCTTTTCAATTTCCAGCAAACATCAATGTATATACGAAAACATATTTAAATTCAAAGCATATTGCGCGCCATCACATGAATCCTCGCTTATGCAAGCGGACTTCGAGTCATATTCAAGACTAAAAATATCGCAATCCATACCGCAATACTTCCAAGCAAACTAAATTTTCAAATAATAATCTCTTCTAAAGAAAAATTTTGTGTACGTCCTGCGACTTGAATTTCTCCGGCTATTATTTCAGGTCCAGCGTTTCGTCGCAATTGACATTTCCGGCGGCGGAATCGGCGCGAAAATACAAACAACGATAGCGACACGACGATTCTGGTTCTGGTTGCCGCCAGGTATCGCCACCGACAACAACAATGGCGTCCGGTCGATAGTCGACGGACGGAAGGAGGCGCTCTCTCGACTCTCGGCCTCGGCGAAGGTCGGAGACACACACAGTCTAGGCGAGAGACGGGGTTCTTCCTTCGCGTAAGAGAGAGACGAAATCGAGTCGCGTCCGGGAAGTGCGCGCGGTAACGAGAAAATATGTCGCGTTCGATCGCGCGACGACGACGACGGGCCGCGTAATCGATCGATCGCGCGCGTCGGCACGTTTTCGCGCGAACGGCAGCGTGTCCGAACATGCGTCCGGCGCGGGACGACCGAGGGTACCGAGCGACAACCGAGGAGGCTCCTTCGAGGAACTGTCAGGGGGACCGTCGCCACCACCATCGCCGCCGACGCCGCCACCACCGCCGTTCCGCGTGAGTCAGTGCGAGCTCGGACGGAGGCGACGCGCACGCAAAATGGCTTCGGGCGACAATGTGGACATGATCGAGGTGGTCGAGAGCTCGACGAGCTTCCCCGGATCGGCGACGCAGCCCGCGATGGATCACCTCAGGCCGGACCAGTCCACCGCCGAGGAAGACTGTGAGTGCGAGAGTCCACGTCTCTCCTTCTTCTCTTGTCTTTTCTCTCTCTCTCTTTCTCTCTCTTTCTCCCTCCTTCCTTCTCTTCCCTCTGTCATTCCAGCGCCGTGACCCTAACCTATAACAGGCGCGATCACAGATGTGTCGCGACCTCGACGATGATTTCTTCGTTGGAAAATTCAATGGACTATATCCTCGTCGTGTTTATCGATTCGCGAATCGTATCTTTATGTGTGACACCAAGCGAGCGTGGCCGATCGAAGATCGCGGCTAATCCGCTGTCTCGCGATCTGACAGCTAATGGGTGTCACCCGACCTAGAAAGCGCATACACGTTGGAATCCGTGTCGTCTGGCGAGGAACGCTGGGGGGTCTCGGTGTTGAAACTTACGACGCTTGTAAAGCGGAGTAATTCTCCCTCTGCTCCGATTTGCGAAGCGATCGATCGACTTTTGACAGTTTTCCTATTATCGCGATATAATCTGTAAGAACCTCCAGACAGAGGAGATTTAAATGCATTTTAATTCGTAAGATGGAAAATTCATCGTGTGTAAATGGACACGTCTTGGAGTCGCGATTTGACAGCTGATAATTATCGATTATAAATCTACTTTCGCGCATAGTGTGGCTTCCGAAAAATTTCAGAGGCTACCTAATTAGGTATTCACTGTGTTAAAGTTCGCACTGTTAAAAGAGTCTTATAACTTATGACACACAAAAAATGAACGACGTAACTGAGAATGATTGTCATTGAAACGATTTGTCATTGAAATGTAAATTACTTTTTAATATATATATACACACACACACACTAATATATATATATATATATATATATTATCACTACACAGCATACACATATAGACATAAGGAATGGAATACATTCTTCGTTTGTTCTAAAAAGTGTGTCCTTGGAACAAAATATATTCTGCACATAATATACTTTCTTCTCGTACAGTTCTGCATTTTTGCACGTGGTTACGAAAATCTATATTTTATTCAAAAATTGTAACTTTCCAAAAAGAAACTCAATTCTGCTTTATCAAAATTTTAAGTACTTATTAATTAATTGATTAATTATAAAATAGTTAGAATAGTTATAAGGGACAGTTTTTCAAAAGTTTTTGTTAGCCCGAAGCAAGATTATTTCAAGATTCTTTAATGAATATTCCTTTAACATTTTATATAGATAACCAAATTCACGAATGTGTTCACAAAATTTAAATATGAGTCAGAGAGTCATATGGGGATTAACAAGGACAAGCTTGAATTTCAAAGTTATCCGAACAATGGCGAGCATTCATTTCGTTTTCGCGTTTTTCACATAGTGAATTTCGTACAAACATTGATTTCACTGCACATTTAATCTACACGTGACGATGAAACAATAATGACGCGTAGTGTGACTCGACGCATTGCGATTTGTTTGCCGCTACTCCACAACTTGACAACTCGCGCCATTTGACAGCTGATAGGTATCGGAGTAGGGGAGGGGGGAGGCAGAATAGCACGTGGAAACTTGGGTTCTGAAATTCGCGTGGGCTCCGGCGTGATCGTGATATCAAGATAACGCCGTTGTTATCGGATCTATGACGCGAACTGACGTGTCTTCTCCATCCTTTTCTCTCTTATAAAAATTGACTTTTTTTATTATAGAAAATAACTGATATATAAAGGAAAGTAGAGCGCGCGATGGAATGCGAGTCTGTGTATCCGGAATGTTCCTTTTGTTCGAAAGATAGCGGCTTCCGTCTCTTGTCGAGCGAAAGCTTTTTTACCGTTTAGAAAACCTTACCATGCTATTATTCCGCATTTATTTTGTACATGTCATATTTTTGTGAATATGAAATTAGCTTACAATTTAGACCATATTTATTATGATCTCTCTATTTGTATGCAGAAAATTATGTCAATCTTGCATTTTTTATTCTTGAACATTTTCAAATTATAAAACGCTCTCTATTGCATATTCAACAATTTTAACTCTTTTACATTTTCTTCTAGTCATTTTAATACGAATAAATGTAATTCTAAATAGCATATATGTTAAAATTTTTTGTTCTTTATACTCTTGAGCGTTACACAGTAGTTACAATATTATTTAAAACGTCTTATTTTTTTCTCTGAGGTTTTAATGAAGATGAGAAATTATGAATAAAAGATTACCTCACTGAAGAATGTTTTAATTGATTCAAGGATACAAGTCTGTGAATAAATGTTATTTACGTAACACAATTTATTTTGCTTGGCTAAGATAATTTCACATGTTTTTCGAGCCATGTGTACAAAACATGGTTGTTTATAGACTCTTCTAGATAGATGTATTAAATCTATATTACGCATAATATTTTCAAAAGTTCATTAACGATGTTTCGATAATGATGCTTTCATTGGCATATCCCTTCGTGTGTTTTCATTGTTGGAATAACATTTCTCAACCGGACAGAGAGCGCCGCACGCGTTCGAGTCAAGTAATGGAAGATGAGAGTTAAAAATAGAAGGCTAACAAAGTAAGGGCATCTTAACTCGCCTTGCTCCCTTACTCTACCGGCTGTCATCCTCGGGACCCTTTTTTCACTCGATATCGCGAATCGCGCCATTTCCCTACACGTGTCGGTTTTTTTTTTTTTTTTTACAATATTAGACTCGATTACTGCTCGCGATAATCCGGCGTATAATTCATTATTTCAAGATTTATCCGAGATAAATTTTATTTGCGATAATTCTGTAATAAAAGTCGTTATGCATATGTAAATTGCAATTTGGCTTTTCGGTTTTAAATTTAACTAATATGGTACGTTATATATAATTCTTTGTTACGAAAAATTAGTATTGAATAATTATTCTCCGTACACATGTTGCACTTGATGACAAATTATAAATTATAAATAATGGTAAGAGTACACTTTCGAGCTATATAATATTTTTGAGAGAAATCAGATGCATCGTGTATGCATATTTGTGTATCATGTCTATCGGTTCCAAGACGAATTTTTGTAACAAACAGTTTGACGGCTGTCTAAGCCATTAAGATTAAATACAAGGTCAACAAAACTATATATTTTTACCTTTGTCCGGCGATAACATTGTCGATTTTTCTTAGAATCAATAGTTATGATGTGTTCCAACTAAATCAAAACTTAAACATTTTATATTGACATCTTCTATAAAAGTGTCTGTTTTCTACGAAGTTATGTAATAGATAATGCATAATTGCGTAATGCAGATACAGATAATATTATTAATAAAACGGTAGAAATGCAGATAATGTAGTAAATGTAAAGAATTAAATAATTACATTTAGTTGTAGTACTAAAATATATATATAGACCATGGAATCGATTATTAAAATTTTCCGTCGTCAAAGGTTTAATCAACTTACACGTGTTGCACTGTGAAAAGGGCAATCTCAGTTTAATAAATTGATCGTATAAAAAAGCCATTGAGTCTCGCGCATGTGTGTATATATATAAAATATATATTTATAGTATCTGACGTTCGTGTTTCTGGAGCACATCTTAAAAATTACTTTATCGATGACTTTATCGATTATATGGCCCCTTAAATTTCATTTTACATTAATATTGCATGTATTTTAAAAAATCTATACAACATCTATATTTGTATATATATATATGATATATTTTTATTTAAAATTTTTATTTATTATAATTATTACGAAACAATGAATTTTTAAATTATATTATGCTGCGATGTTTATATAGCTATACTTAGTTCAGTTTTGTTTATGAAAAATTTTTATATTTAATGAGTACTTGAATTTTACATAATTTTCAAAGTGTAAAATTGTCATTTAATAATACTTATATATTTCTATAATTTATTTATTATATAATTATTATACGATCGAATATATCTTATTATTTTTGATTTTGTTTTGAGATAAATGGCACTTGATTATTCTATGAAGAATTTTACGTTTCATGACATTTTATTTTCTGCTGCTGTATTGCATTATCTAGTACATGCATTATTAGTTAATCAAAATGTTATACATACATTGTACTATGCGCGACGTAATTAAAATGTCTTTTTTACAGATAAATCGATTGGAGAAAAAACAACAGCATTTGACGTAAGTCTTAATCTTTCTTTAACTAACAACTAACCAATTGTTATAACTACAATACTTTTCAAAAAGATACATTCATTCTGTTAAAGGGTAAATTAATTTCTCTTAAATATTTAATTAACAACAACACCTGTTTAAATAATTATTAGTAGTTAATGCAGTTACATAAATGATAATTACTGATATTAATAATTCAAGCAATAAAGCGTAATTAGCCTGAATTCTTTTTACAGAAATACCCTTTCATGCTATTATCGATTTTAGTTTTATGCCATATATTGCTTGCATATTCATTATGTTCTTCTTAAGTAGCTCATATGTACGCGTCTGTATTATACTGCATTATATATATGTTCTTGTCTAGTTTTCACTTTACACAATTCGAAAAGAAAGCACTAATAAAAAAATTGCTCCAATTTATAATGTGCGCTGCATCGCATTATCTTTTACTTCTTTCCCATTAACTTGCTCCACTTTTGCACAGATCTACTGTTCATATAATATTTATCGCGATCGCATATGCTACCATCTACGTGATTCGTGTTCTCATTTATACCATAAGCACCATTTGTACGAGCGCGAACATTATATTAGATAAAATTAAATTGAAAAATTTTAAATCTAAAACCTCGTAAATAAAGAATAGAAATGTAACGAACAAACTGTAGATTATTTAGAAAAATATCTCTTGAATTATTGAGCAATAAATCAATATAGATTACAGTCTATTTTTTTTTATTCTTCTCTTTACAATCGGTCGCACCAAATATAGCTTGTTTTCTCACGAAATCATTTCTATTTTTGCGACGAGCAGATCTGCTCGTCATCAACAATTTATACTCGAGCATCCAAGATTGACTTTTGCATGCTTGCAAAGTTTGCGAAGAGTCAAATAGCACACAAGATAGATTTTCAAATTTGCCATTTGTTCTTGTTATTATGGTCAGCGAAATATGCGCATAAAATCAACAAAAAAGAAAAGTTATATTACATGTAATCGCATTGTTGCGTGAAAATAATAATCATGGATATTAAATATTATAATGCTTGCATATTTCTGCGAAACAACGCAATATTATCTAGCACAATGAGAAGCAGTGCCTAAATATTTTTTTCTTTTTAGTTATATAATCATTTCTTTTTCTTTTTAGTTGTATAATCATTTATTACAATGCATAAGTGAGAACAATTTTGAATATTCTTTTTATTCTATATACGTACGAAGAAAAAAAATATTTTGTAACATGTATTGCGTTATTCCACGTAGCATGATTAAGCTCACTGGAATGTGCTAATTATCTTTTCCTTGATGCGCTGTAGATGTCATTTAATATAATTTACTAACAATGTAATTAATATTTTTTTTAAATATATATGTTCAATATTATTATTATAAATAATTCGGCGTTAGCAGGAATGTCACTGATAACAATGTAATGCTAATCAGTCTTTCTTGAATATACGTTCAATATTAGCAAGAATGTGTTAATACATATAATGTCACTGATCTTTGCAGAGTTTAGTGGTACAACATGGTATCACCGGAGGCAAAACCCCTGCGGGGGTATCGAGAAACAAATCGGAACGAGAGAGAAAGATCGGGCATCGAAGAGTTGGAGTGGGTGGTGAAATTACATATAAGAAAGTAAGTAAAAAATGTGCCACTGTAGCATATTTCTAATAGATGGTTTCTTTAGATTAGGTTTTCGCGTTGTAATCAAAGTTAAAGGGTATCATTAAGCGACAGAGCTAAGAAACTTATACTACACCGTTTGCACTATTATGTCTAGCAGCGAGCGATTTTTTTTATCGTTGATAAACATCATACTTGTAAAAAAGAAAAATATGCCACTTTATCTAGCTATCGATAAGAGAGATTTATTATTTGCATTTACTGATCAGACAAACCTACTACACCAGAAATCAAACTTTCTCTATTAAATGATTTGAGATATTACTGCGTTATTGTCATTACTACGTTGCAAATATAATAGTTTTATGGACTTAAGAGTAATAATATAGCTGTAATATATATTATGTATATCATTAATTTTTAATACATTTTATTTATTTTATATAGATTCAAACTACGCAAATTATGGGATCCATTCAGTTGGGAATACAGCATGCTGTCGGTGGTCTTGCAAGTAAACCGGAACGCGATCTATTAATGCAGGACTTTATGACAGTGGAGACAACGAACTTTCCCAGTGAAGGGTCAAATCATACTCCAGCCCATCATTTTTCGGAGTTTAAATTTAAAAATTATGCACCCATTGCATTTCGTTACTTTAGAGATCTCTTTGGCATACAACCGGATGATTTTTTGGTGAGATAAATTTTTGCACTGCAATAAAATATAATGAAGTGTTAATTATACATATACTAATAAATATATGCATTTTAGATGTCAATGTGTAGCGCTCCGTTGCGTGAATTATCAAATCCTGGCGCTAGTGGGAGTATCTTTTATCTAACGGATGATGATGAATTTATCATAAAGACTGTGCAGCATAAAGAGGGAGAGTTTTTACAAACTCTACTTCCAGGATATTATATGGTATGTTTCGAAAAATTAAAATACAATATTATTTTTAATATAAAAACTTATTGACAACCACTGTTGTTTCTTGTAGAATCTAAATCAGAATCCGAGGACACTATTGCCAAAATTTTTTGGGTTGTATTGCTATCGATGTAATAGTAAGAATGTTAGATTAATAGCTATGAATAATCTTTTACCTTCGTTTGTAAAATTGCATCAGAAATATGATTTAAAAGGATCTACATATAAGAGAAAGGTTTGTAATATTACACAAATATATTTATGTGTGTGAATATTGTAATATGTATAATTTTAAGTGATTTTATATATGTATATATACACACACATATATATATATATATATATATATATATATATATATATATATATATATTGTATTAAATTGTAGGCATCGAAAGGAGAACGTTCAAAGTCTTCACCGACGTATAAAGATTTAGATTTCATAGAGCATCATCCAGAAGGCATCTTTTTAGAGGCCGATACGTATGGTGCGTTAGTAAAAACTATTCAACGGGATTGTCGTGTATTAGAAAGTTTCAAAATTATGGATTATTCTTTACTTGTTGGAATCCATAATCTTGACCAGGCTGCAAAGGAAAAAGCTGTAAATATTATGTCTTGTTCATATCACAAATATATCGCGCAATAAATATTTATCTGTATATATTACATTTATATTATAGCAAGAGCAAAGATTGTCAGCAAGCGCGGATGAAGAAGTTGGAGAAATGGGTGAAACTGATGGATTTATTCAATCTGAAAGGGAAAAGGATAGAGAAGATAGAATAGGCGCTGCCGCTTTGAATCGATCGCGCAGTATAAATCGTCAAAGATTGGTTGCTCATAGTACGGCAATGGAAAGTATTCAAGCTGAGAGTGAACCGATAGATGAAGAAGATGATGTACCGTAAATATCGTATTTGTACGACTTTATGAATGTATCGAGAAATGTTATTTGATTATAATAAATTTTATTTATGTTCCCAACAGCTCAGGCGGTATTCCTGCCAGAAACGCACGCGGTGAACGTCTTCTGTTATTTCTTGGTATTATCGATATTTTGCAGAGCTATAGATTGAAAAAGAAATTAGAACATACGTGGAAATCGATGATACATGATGGGGTAAGTCACACGTATAATGTGTATACGTATATTTTCTCTCATCTAATCTAATTTTCTCTCACAATTCAGTTTTCTTTTACTTTATCCCAACATCATACTGATATTTATATAGAAAGAACATTTCTTACTTTCTCGCAGGATACTGTGTCGGTACATCGACCAGGATTTTACGCGCAACGCTTTCAGGATTTCATGGCCAAGACAGTATTTAAGAAAATACCATCACGTAAGTACCATCCGAATCAACCTGTCCTAACAAGTTTGACTACAAGATTACATTCAGCAAAATTCTCTAATATGTGAGAAAATTTACGCTTACTTATCTATTTACTGGTAGCCACAAATCGATCATGTTAATTCGTCGCGTTATATATACGTTATATACAAGTTGTATAATTGAATCGACTTTGCTTACTGAAAGTATAAGACAAAAAATCATATTAATGGTATCAGTATTGTGATTCAATCGTATTGCAATGCTATCAAATTGTACCTTTAATTAATGCTTTTGAGACATATTTTAAATATTTAATGCAAGAGAAACGGAAGTAGAACAAAGATAGTTTATTATAAGTGAAGCTCAAAACTGGTACTTAGAATATATACATAGTATGTTATCATTATATAAATAGTAAGGTACTTATATTGTTATTTAAGAACATATTCCAGTTTTCATACAGCAGTAGCCGTAAGCTAGAGACACATATTTTTCTTCTCGTTACAATTGACTAAAAAACTCGTCCATTTATAATTCAGTTATACAATTTTTTGGCGGGCGCGTAACAAACTCGCGTTACTGTCGGAATAGCGGAGGAGAATCTAACAAAATATTAGGCTTCCACGAATATCTTAGTCGTAGTTATTATCAGGGCTAACACAAGCGATTCTGGTTTTAATAAACACTCTACCTAATTATTTATATTTTAAGACTGTTGAAAGCGCAGGTGTCAGCGACTCAATTTCGACTGTACAGATTTTATCACAGACAGATTTAGCCGTCCAGAAAAATATTTTTACGATTATAACAGCGTTATAAAATATTTGAGTGACTGCAGAGAATGCGACAAATACTATGCGGATATCCGAAAATTATCTAGACGCGTTTTTGCCTCAATATCATGGTTATATTTAAATTTTATTGATCTGCCCAGTGCCTTGCGTAGATTAATGAAGTATCGTGCGAATCAAAACTGTTTGTTGTAAAATAAGAGATGACGCACTTTATCTATTCAACGAATGCGATATTTATCAGTATCATATATAATCCGATCCAGAAGAGAATTTTTCGGATACCTGCATTTGTTTAGAATCCATGTGAATAGGATATATATTTTGGGTTTAACGAGTGTCAATTGATCATTTTTGGGTTTTGTTTTGGTGTAACTAATTGCTAACACAATACACACGTATGTATATTTTGTTATATATATTTTTTCTTTTTTTTTTAATAACTTTGTTTTTTTGCAACTTTAACCTCATTGTGCATTTCATATTTTCCTTTGACGCACAATTTTATTTTAATATATTTATGAAAAAAAAACAAAACAAATTATCGATCACTGGTGTCCACAGGTATAGCTGAGTATTTTTTATGTAGAAATATATATCGATACTGTTAATCTATCTTGTGACTTCCTTCGGCATATTTTTACTTATACATATATTAGACTGCTTTACACTTATATTTATAACTGCGAGCCATGTTTGAAAAGATCGATCGTCTTAAACAAGATTTTCATAAAATGTTGCATAAACAAAAGCTGGCAATTGAAAAATCTTTTTCTTTGCCAATAACTTCTTGATCTAGTCCATAACATTATTAAATGTGTATTTATTAGTGATACGAAGAATCGAGTAATCTAATTTTTATATATTTTTTTATTAATATCATGTGCCAAAGTTTTATGAAAGTTCCTTCTTTAATATACAAAATAAATAAATCTTAGTGACAAAAGTTTCTATCCTGTCGATGCGCCAAAACAATCATTGATCTTTTCGTTCATCAAAGCATTAATAAAAAGAATATAATATAAATAGAACGCACGAAATACATTCACAATATCATTCAAAAAATAAATAATCAAATCAATTATTTAATCAATCAATCAACTTCTAAAAAAATAAATTAAAAGAAATGCCAAATATAATTCTCTCTATAAAGGCTTATTTTTTTAAAGGCTTTTTATTGAGGGATAGAGCTAATCGATTTTGTGCGATCTATATATTTTGTAGAAAAAAATCTCTGCGAAATATAACAATGTTGAACGCGTATATATTTTTGGCAACAGTAGCAAATGTTAGGAGAGAGTGCGAGAGTGTGAGAGCGAGAATAATCGGTAGAAGTAGATGTTTTTTTTTTAATAGCGAAAATATTCAGCTATCGACTGAACGTGGGCACCATTGTACATATTTATATATTTTGCAATAAACATTTTCGCTGTTTACAACTTCATTTCATTTATAAGCCCACCCGTACACAACTTTTAGCCTATTACCATACTACTACTGCTACTTACTACTACTTACTACTAATACTGTTACTACTGTTGCTATTATTACTTTCCTCCCATGTATTATCATTACACACATTATTGACATTATTCCATTTATTATGATTTACATTTCCCCGTAATTGTTATTCATATTAAGTTTTTTGCACCATCAGCGCGTTACACTATGTACGAGTATATTGTCTCAATATTGTATCGTGCGATGTGTTTGTTGTTTGTGTTACGTACGTTTGCGTTTCGTTGATCACCTATAACTTATACTTTATCTCATGCGAATAGAAACAGATTACAATTGACAGCCCAAAAGCGCCGTAGGACAAGTTTTATAATTCTTCTCTTTTTTCGTTCTCTTATAATTTATCACGTTAAATGCAACGTTGTTGAAGCAGCATCAGAGCTTGTGTCACATAAATATTTGAATGCAACAAGGTTCAATTGAAAAGCTGCTCAAATAATAATTTGTGACAAATTCTACTATTCCCTGTCTGTATAAAGAAGGGAAAGAAGAGCTTAAAGTTGTTTTGTATTTCAACTTGATACATTTGAAAGCTAGGTGTACCCTAACTTTCTTTAACGTTTCTATCTATATTCTCGGCAGTCCCTAATAATTTGATCATTTATTCAATAATTCGGTATATATAATCATACTATATGCGGAGTTAGCTAAATGTTGATGTTTCTGTGTCCTGTGCACTTCTTTTCGTGTCAACCCCCATCTGACCTGCTACTGATCGAAACTCGAAAATCGAATACCAAAAGTGGACCTACCTGAGATTAAGGGGAATCACCGCAAATTCCGTAACCTCGTCACCAGCTATATAGGTAACTCTATCTATGTGTGCGTCCATCTGTCCATTTTCGTATGAAAGTATATATGTTTATTTTCATATAATCCTTTATCTGTATATATGCATCTTCTTACGAATAATCCGTTCTTTTTCTTACTCTGTTCTGTGACTCTACAGCGTGTCGATTTATCTTAATTTATTTCATGCCACTTTGTATTTGCTGGGATTAAATCAGTCTATAAAATGTCTATCAACATTTTTTTGAAAGAAATTAACATTTGAATAATTGGTTCAAATATAATTAAAACAATTTATTTTTATTAAAGTAATAAAAATAATTGCATGAAAATGACGCGTGTGTGAGATTTTTTGCATGTGCGACTCGAAAACACAAGTTTTTAAATATTTATATGTTTATATCAGAATATAATATATTTATTTTTTTATTTGTTTAATTATAAAATTAAAAGTAATATAAATTATATTTTTTTAAATTAATTTAAAAAATTTAATTAACTTATTACAACATAAATATATCTTTTACATGATAAAGCTTTGCACAATACTCTATGTTTGTTCACTAACATGTTTATGCACATACGATTTTTCTAAATCTGAATAGTTTTATTTAAAAATATGGATTGTTTAAAATGAATTTAAATAGTGAAATTAATTATGCGAATAAATGTTTTTAACGTGTATGTCTTTATGTGTATGTCTAAGTGTGTTTCTATTTCTGTCGCTTCTGCAACCGATGTTTTGTAAGAATTGTACGCCTGATATGTGTACTTTTTTTTATCACTCTTCAAACTTCTGTTCCTTATTTTCGACACACATTTCGTAATACATGGTCCAAGAATCATTTTATAGAAGATTCTGAATTATTCTTCAAATCCAAGCGACGATACTCCACTAATAATCATGGATAATGAACACTTCATTCTTTATCTACACTATATTTTAATATAACATTTTCCAAAAGAGATTAATTAAAAGGATTTCTCGTGTCCATGCCTGTTTAGGATATTTTTCACTAAGTTTCTCTCTATATATATACAATATATTTTACTCCACAATTTCGAAACTTCCCTGTCACACATTCAATATCATGCAGCAATTAGTTTAGCCTAGGCATACCCTATATTTCACGGCACGGATGATAGATTAATAGATAAACACTTCTATAACGAAATATTTACTTATTATATATGCATAAAATATATTTCTACAGACTCCAGCACAATTTTCATGTACGTACATCTTTTTTATGTAATTAATTAGGCATGTGGATTAAGACGTAGTATTTTCAGGTGACAATTGTAAAAATAGCTCTCGCTCGAAAGCGAAGTCCATAGATGTTGTCGGCTTGATTATATTTTTACATATCTTTACGTATATAATATATGTTAGAGTTAGACATTCCATATTTGCGATTAATATAATTAAAATATAGGAATATTTACATATAGTGATAGTTTAGCATCTTGCTAACAGACAGTACTTAATTATTTCGTAGCCTGAACAAAGAATATTATTTATATATTATTATGGTAGGTAGTGCTGCAGCGAGATTTGTTTTATTTAGAGAGAAAATATTTAGATATTTAAGAATAAGATTATAGATGAAAGAAGCTGTTATGATACACAAATTTCTTTTTTAGAATTAACGAATATAGATAAAATTGGCTATAAAATACGCTTATTTAAGATATAAGACATAATTAAGAGAGATTACGATTTAAAGTCTGCAGAAAAAAATGTTTATATATATTTTTCTAATTATCTTCTAAGTTTTACTAACAATTGGGTCCATTCTGTAAATTGAAGCAGTGCTAATGAGGCTAAATATCCTTCGATCCTTACTACGGTACTGATATCAGCTTTTAGTATAATACTTTTGTGTTCTTCTTTTGATAGGTATATTTAACACGTACAAATTTTAAAGCAATTTTTAAAAATATCTTGATGTTTAATTACGCACAGCTTTGTGCAAGAAATTATGGCATCGCATGTTTTATGTTACAGCCTTGAAGCATTCCCCGTCGAAGAGAAAGAGTATAAGCAGACCGCTGAGGCCGCTGGAGGGTGATTTCGATTCGACTGGTGAGTTAGACGCGTTTCAATTCACACCATTTTCCAATATTCTATTATTCCAAAATTCTTTACGCTTGTTTATATCACGCGAGAGAGAGATTTCGGTTTTCGGAACATTATTAATATCGCGTATGATTATACTTTTGTGTCTCTAAATAAATGAAAGAAAGAGAGACCAAGTTCTTCTATAATGTTCAACAACTCTAGAACAATATGACAGTGAGAGAATCGCGCGATAAAAGAATTAATTGTATATGAAAAATGTTTGATTCTCCAAGAATATCATGTAAAATATATTAGCAGAGAAATTTGAAATTTAAAAGCCTGAATTCCGAAAATCGTGCCGAAGACTTTCGATAAAACGTTTCTTCACGATTCTATTATTGGCTTTGCGCTGAATTTCACTGTAGCCAGGCACAGCGATCAGTGCAATAAACTTAGTTGCGGCATTCCCACGTTACCCGCTTCTAAAACATTCACGACAGTACCGATATGTGAAGACGTCGAGAATAGGTGAAGTCCCGTCTAATCCCTATCTACTCCCTCATCCTTTGTTTCCTCACTCGAGTTGTCTTCCTACGAATATTCAGTTCTTCGAATACAAAACGTATGTACTAATAATTTAATTCTGATTTTTAATTCTCTAATTATTTAGTAAACTTTAATCCGTAGCGTAAAGATGCACTTTTTGCAATAAAAATATTTGCAATTTTGCATTTCATTTATTAATAGTCGAGAAAAGTTTAAATAATTTAACCATCAATGAGTTATATAACGAATATCTCAGCATTTGGATTCAAATTACTGTCAACACGATAGTAAGATTAATGTAAATATTAAATGTAGAATTATACATTGTATAGAGGGAGCAATATGTACACATAATTACAATTGATATTTTATTAAAATTCTATATTTTACCTGATAAAAAATATTAAGTCACTTAGCAAAATAATTCCACTTATTCGCAAATTTTTGCATCTCGTCTACTTTTCCTATCCTCGTATCTCCGCAATTAATTCCTTCACCCATGCAATCGTCCTATGCAGCTTTATCGCGTAAATGTCAGTCAAATGTTTAATTTCTCCCGATTACACAAACGTCCCTTGCTCGAATCCTGGTTCTGCCTCGGGCCTCCTTCGGTCGACGAGACGACAGAGAAACTGCGACCGCGCGATTTCAACAGGGGTACGCTTTTATCGTGCTTCGCCCCACGCTGCGAATGAGAAAACCGCTTAAGGAACGCAACGAACGCCAAACTTTGCAGTAAATCAGGGCTTGAATTTATTAGTACCGATAGAATCGTGATTTCGATGCTGCAGATACGCGAAAATAATTTTTCTATTCTTACTAGAAAAATATAAATATATACTTCGCGCATTTCTGCGGCATCAAAAATATTCTCCTTGACATTGTAACGATTTCGAACCTTATACGGTAAAGAGATTTCGTGACACCGAAAGACGAGATCTCGTGCTTGGTACGCGCTTTTGGCATTGAATGGCTTTCGCGTTTGGACACCCTCGAAATCCGTGGTGAGTTTCTCTGTCCAATTAAGAGCCGGACACATGACAAGTACGGTAATGGTACATGGTGTTATATGGTGGTTTAGCGGTGGCGGCAACTGGAGGTTCGGCAATGCATGCTACATCACCCACGAAGGCCGGTGAGTCTCATTTTATTTTAATGTATAGCTGTTCATGTGTAACTATTTTCAAAATTTATCGCGAAAATATGTACATCCCTGTTATCTTCTGAAACAGATGCTGAAAACGCGAGACGCGCGTTTCTTTCTTTCAGAGTACAAAGAGAAAACTGTGATAAATTTTTGATAGAGCTGTAATTTTTAATAGAGATAATCTTAAAGAGCTGTGTATATTTTTAACTCTATTACGATGAGTCTAAAACTAGTTAAACTATTTAATATAAACTAAATAATTATTTCTTAATCAGTTTCGTGATTATGATAACGAATTATCAATCACATGTATCATTGATCGTTTGATTAAGGTCGCAAATGAATAATTTTTCGAATGAGCTGTGCAACGTAAATTAGAAAAAATTATAGGATGGTGTTTTACATAATTATACATTATTATGCATATAATAATTGTAGCAAAAATTCACATATTGCACTGGTCACATATTTTTCTCCTCGTATATATTTAATTATACACGGAGAGAATTTTCTCTTAGAATTTACCCTGAAAATCATGGTAATTGTAGGACAGTAAAGATATTGGAAGAATTTTATAAGAGTTTCTCTGATTAATATTTATCACAATAAAAAAATATGAATATATATAGTAAAATTAATCGAACATTTGATGTTATTGTGGTAGATATTAATATTTTGTAATTATAAAAATTGTTCCAATAATATCATATTATTCCAGGATTAGCATGATTTTGAGGGTAAATTCAAAGAGAAAATTCTCTCTCTGTGTAGAAATATCTTGATATTATCTATATATATATATGAAATCGTAGTATGTATTTCTATACAAAATTGCACTTCTCTTTTCGACCATTCTCACGAAGAGCTCGGTCAGGAAAGAATGAACGTTGCACGGTTCTCCGGATCATTCGACTTCTCTCTCATCCGGCTTCTCTATTATTTTCTCTGTTTGCCTGCCTCTCTCTCTCTATGTTCCCATCCCGCGCCATCACGACGCTGCACACCGCGACTCCCTCGACCGTTGACCTCCCTCCGGACGGCCACGAACGACCTCGAACGACCCCGAGAGCAGCGGTTAGCCTGCCCGAGTCTGCGATCAGCGCGACGAACGCGGCAGTCACGAGTGGCTCGGTGCCGATCGCCACCTCGACCCCGGTTAATCCCGTCGCCGGTCCGCTGAGTCCGCCCCCGTTGACCCTGGCCGCCGGTCCGCATCCGCACGAGCATCCGCCCGGGCCCGCTCCCGCGGTCAAGGTCACGAGTTACCCGGCCGTGCTGAAGGGTAGAAGCGCGGCGAGTCCGCCGAATCCGAACCTGGTCCCGTCCGGCAAGGTTCCGCCGCCGGTGCCGCCGCGGGGCACGGGTCCTTCGAGGACCTCCGCCAGGTCCTCCGAGGAGCACCGGACGGCCGGCGCCACCACCTCCTCGACGACGTCGTCGGTGACTTCCAGCCGAGGTGACGAAGCAGCCATAATCACGAGATACCGCTTGCATGACAGTTCGTGCGACCTGCACCACCCGATCCCACCCGTTCGTTCCTCTACTTCCGCTACCACCGCTAACAATAAGACTGTGACCTCTACTATCACCGCTGCTGCAGCTACCAAAACTATCGCGAGCTCGAACAACGCGTTGCATGCCCGTACATCGACACTCGACACGTATCGCGTCACGCACCGCGCCAATTCGATGCGGAATTGGTATATCCAGGACCTGGACGAGGAGTTTGTTAGTGTGGAGAAAGTGGAGGACGCTTACTTCATCAAGACCAGTCCACATCCTTTCAGACCGGATAGAGGGATTTACCGATCCGATCGCCGGAAAGAACTCTACGAAGCTGGAAATCGTCAAGTTTCCGGGAAAGAGAGCACCAGGACGGATCATCTAGCCAAGTTTACCTACTTTCTCAATCCAAGTTCCCGAAGCGATCTGATGAATTATAAGATGTCGCGAAAAGACAAGAAGCATTCCGAAACATATTACGAGAGGATGAAGAGGAAACAGAGGGAACTCGAGGCGTCTATCACGATATCGTACGGTCGTAAATCAGTGGAAGGTGCAAATAAAGTTACAGATGCATCATTTCACGCGAAGAATAAATCTGTTGAAGAATCGGTTAAGCAAAAAATTTCAAGATTCACGTCGTCTAAGAAAGATAGCATATTGTTGCAAAAGATCCGAGAGAAATCTAGAGGAAAGAAACGATTCACACCGAATCCGAAGAAACAAATCTCTGCAACTTTTAACACAAGTTTCGATGAAATTGAGAAAACAGAGGAAAGAAAAGAAGAGAAAAGATTGCTTCCAAAAATCGATTTTCGGATGAATAAAAATGATAATTGCCTAAGTCAGGAAAAAAGTGACAAGACTGTCAAAAATTTTAAAGCCGAAAAACAATCAGCAATCGGATGCAAATCGTCCGAGATGAAGGATCGTTCTTTTGGTAGAAACAGTAATTATCTTGGCGACAAGAACATCTCTAAGATTATTATTGACGAACAAGGAAGTAAAAGAGGTGGATTGAAAGGAATTTTTCCGAAAGGCAGTCATATTGAAGATGAAGACAAGGAAGAGATAGCCGACGAACGAATCAATAACTTTGATCGACAAACTAATGAGAGATTAAGAAAATACGAAGACTCTTCGAGATTCGAAGTAACACTCAGCTCGAGTAAAAATTGCGATGAAAGTTCTTTACTTCGTGGAAAACGATTTTTATACGAAGATATTCGGAAGAATAATTCGAAAGATATGAATCGAGATAAATTGCTGAATGCAACTAAAAGCGAAAAGCTTATATATAGCAACGTCAGCAAGTCTTCCGTTTCTGAGAAAGTAAAAAGTTTCGAGAAAATTAAAGGCGAAAGGAAGAACGCTTCGCAAGAAGAGCTATACTTGTTTAATTTAAACGAAGGTGGAGTCAACACCATCGAGCAAAAACTTGCACTGCCGACTAATAAAACTCAATTGAATCAGCAAGAAGAAAACATAGACTTGAAAGCGGAAATATTAAATATTAAACACGAAAGATTTAAGTCACTTTCGAGTGGCCGCTGCAACGATTTGTCATTTAATTCACAAGAATTTGGAATGCTAAGACCGAATGTCTCTTTTCTACATACTTATCGAAAGACACGATCGTTCACATAGAAATAAATTTCTATCAATTTAGATTATTAGAAAATTTGGTAATATAAATAACAAGTTTTATAGCTAAAAAAAAACAGGCGATTAAAAGAATCTTGATAATACCAAGTTGATAACGATTTCCGATCCGATAAACGATAATATATCAGATTTGTTTCGAACTTGTAATTTTATAAGAGAAAGAACTGCTACCTTATAAGGAAAAACAACAGCTTCCATTTTCCTTCATTGAACGCTTATCAGACATAAAATGTTTTTTTCCCTTACTATCACTGCCGCATGATAATGCAAGTTATTATTTCCTGCATTTCATCATCCGATTTCACACATCAGATTGTGATAACAATGTTAGTAATCGTCAATAGTTATGAGTTATGTTTATTATTCTTTTATTATCGTTCATTTATATATTGATAGACATCGAAGGAAAAATATTTTGCGTTGACTAATAGACAATTTTCCTCATCTCTTTTCCACGTCTGCGACATTTCAAATGTCAGTCGATTTTAAGACATCGACGAGGTATCCTTTACATACAGCCTAGATTGTTTTCGAGTTCTGTCCATTGTGCAAAATTATCATTACATAATATTTTATAATTAAGTAACGTTCCTAGTAATTTTTTAAAATTTAAAGTTGCACGCGTAGAATTTTTCATTGCCATAAACGAGCGAATAAACGCAATGTGTTGTACACTATTTTGCTTACATCGTTATTATTCTTGCGTAATGATATATCATTGTTATTATTTTTAGTTTTTGTGTGGTTCAGCATTTATTTATTTAGTTTATTGCGTTTATTTATTTGTTAATTGTACTATATATAGGGTTGAAGAGTTTCGCTTTTATTTATAATTTGTGTATTAATAATTTCTCGATTATTTATCTCGATGTAATGTATGTGTGTATCTACATCAATGCATAAAAGGTTCATATGAGCACGTTCGTGATGATGTATCAGGATGTCATGTAAAACTCAAACTGTCCTAGCCTAATTAATTAATTGATTTGCTATTGCACTTGCATAGTATACACATGTAGGTGAACACGTAGCTAGTATTAATTAATGAAAGTTTGAGATTGTTTCTTCCAATTTCGAATGTAAACACTTTATCTTTCTTAATAGAAACTTTTATATTTTCAACATTTTTAAGAATACAATAATCTTATGTAACTATTGCATAATTGTGCAATAAATAATACAATTTTATGGTATAAAATTCGATTTACGAAATTAATAGCTTGTTGTCTCTAAAAGTGTTGAAAATGTAATTTTTTGCTCTGATGAATAATTTCCTCGTTGCGTAAAATCACTTACAAACTTTGTGGAGTTATTTTTCTTCTTGCAAATATTTATAGTTGTTTTTACCCCAAGCTTCATCAACCGTGTATATACGCGTAAATAAGCAAAAGGGATATTTCCTCGCGCAAATTTTTAGAGCAGATATCATTACTATTTTAGACCGGAACGATTGAATCATCTTAGATGGATGTAAATGGATTAGAATGATTCAATTTTTTCTGTCGATTCAATTTTTAAATCTGCATAAATGTTACAATTAATGAGTTTTGAATTATTTCAACAACGTAATAATTTGATTATCATTTTAATCAAATTGTTAACAAATACGAAAATTTATACAACTTGATACGGTGATAAGTACCATATTATATAAAATATTTCTAAATTTTTCAATTTTGCAGTTCAAGTGTAAAAAGATATACACCAGTATCTTGATAAGAAATATATTTCTTCCAAATCTTCTATTCGAAGTAAAGCATTTTTTTGCCAAACAAGTCTCAGTAATAGCATACATATATGAGTGTGATTCTGCGCTAAACGAAATTTCTGATCCCACCTATTCTCCACCGCAATTCCATCCTTGCTATTATTTTAGCATTCGAGATAATAGGCGCGTGTGAATTAGGGCTAATTGTAGTACGCTTCTTGTAGGTGGCACCCTTCCTTCCACCTGTTCCACCCCGCCCCCGCCCTTTGACGATGCAGTCCGCTCGAACGACCAAACTCTGGCTTCCGGTGGTCATCTTCAACAAGGCGCGACCATCCTCGCGAGCAACCTGAGTTCCGCTCATTCCAAGCAAAATAAGGTTGTTCATCATGTTACGCTTACCAAGACGTATCACGACACTGTGAGGTGAGTACGATTTTTTGCGACGTTTTAAACGTCGATAATTTTAAACTAGCTTTATCCTTAATCAGTAACATGAAATCAAGAAAAAAATTATCTATCCTTTTGTGTACCTGGATTACAATCAAACTAGCCAACAGAAATAATGTAGAATATGATGAATCTTTAGTAGTCAGAATAACTAATAGTTTTCAAGAATAGATGTTACTGATTGACGATCAGATGTACAATTGATGCAGTATACATATATGTATCGTCTTTACACTTGGTCTTAGATTTTTTTTTTTATATTAGTGATATATTATTAATATTATACTGATTCTGTGTGATATACATATACATACATATATTTTACGCTTATCTTCGCACTTTGCACGCATCTAAACGAAGACTTTCTTTTGCTTTATCACGGCAACTTCAGGAAAAGGAGAATGTTAGTATTATTTGATTTTTAATTTAATCACACACATGATTATACTCGCTTCTCGGTTATTCGCTATTAAATCTCGAACCAATTTATCGATAGCATATCGGACGTGCATTTGGAGAGCAGCGGTAGCGGTAGCGGCAGCGGCGGCAGGGAAACCAAGTCCTCGCTGAGCGTCGAGAGCGGAGGCAGCAGTCGTGGGGGTGGCTGTCTCACGTGGACTCCACCGGCCGGAAGCGCCGAGGGTTCGACACCCACGTGGACCGAGGGGACGCCGTCCTTCACCGAGAGTTCTAGCAGCGGCGACATAGGTAAGTTGCTGTACGCGCTCAACATCTACTACGGCTCCTGAAGTGTACTGCCACGAGGACCACAGCTACGTCTTCTTCTGCCGCTATCTTCTTCCTACCCTCTTCTGTCTACTCGAAACACTCTGTCAAGGAAATTTGCGAGAACGAACGTGAGCGTCACGTTGATTCTCAATCCGCTTTTCGATTCTTGTAGATTTTTGATATAGTTATTCTTTTTTTTTATGTTGACTTCTTGCAAGAAGTATGGATTTTTTTCTAGAATTTATATATATGTGCTATGTCAATTTTATAAATTTGAAGATTTGATAGATATCTTTCTTTTTATGGAATTTCTCTATATATATTAGATTGGATGACACAACATTGACAATCATGTTTGTGATTTCTTTGTATCTCTTATTAATATAACAAATGCAGATTATCAATATAGTAGATCTATTAAATATGATATATTGAGTATATTCAACTGTCAGAGGAAGTTTTCATCCCGCAGAACATTAAACATTATTTTTTAATTATGCTATAAAATGTAATACATTACCATCATTAACTTTCCAAATTCAAGTGTCATAATGCAAACAGTTATCACATTCCAGTGCCAAATTAACGAAAGATTTTTTTTATTTCGAAGAAAAAATTTTTCATTGAAGTAACAGAATGTTTTGTTTTAACGGCGAAGTGAATGAAAAATGTAATTGACTTTTACAATTTTTATTCATTTGTTATAATATTTTATTATTGTTACAATATTTTATTCACTGATGCAATATTTTTCGAAAGCAAAGATTTTTTTATTGAAATCGAGCGATATGATATCTAATTATATCGAAAATATGTACATACACATACATATAAGACATATGGAATGTGATAATCAAGAAGTAAAAACTTAATGCATATATGGTAATTAATTATTGTTTAAATATATGGCAGTTTGTATTTCGACAAAAAATTATTTTCGTCTTCGATTCTACCTGAACGATGACATGCATTTTGCGCAATTGCAATTCTTCGACAGTCACTTTGCGTGCTCTATTTCATGCGTTAGTTATGAAACAAGATCGATAAAAGTAACATCGATCAAATAGAAAGAACGATAACTACTCTATTCTTCATAATTCAATATTATTCTATCTAGCCCTATATAGATAATTCCAAGAAAAGCTTTGTTGAAAAATGCCTAAGGTAACTTTACGATAAATGAGAAAGAAAAATAATAAAGAAGAAAATATAAAAACAAGAAACTTTACTCTTTCGTCACTCTTTATCAAATCTGTCTTCACACTGATCTTATTTTTCTATTTTCATCCGTATATATTTTCCGAGCTTCGACGATTACTTGGGATTTCTGAGCTACGAGATAAGTTTCGATCTTTCTTTTATCTACATCTTTTTCTACTTTATTGAATCACGCAAGCAATTATATTTACACGCTTTTTCTCATGCATAGTTAACACGATTTATAGAATGCACAATGTTCTTCATGTGCTTCGTGATTCGATCCGAAGATTGCGAAACCTTGAGAGAAATACAGAAGTCCTAAAAATTAACTCATATAAAACTATTTAAATAAAATATTTATACAGATGCGTGGCATTTCACGTTGCGAAAAAAATATCTCAAGATTTCTCAATCTCTCATTTTTTTATCTTTTTTCCCGAATATATATTTTAGCTTTGGGATCACACTATCGCTCGGAATATGCCTTTATGCTTTTTGTTAAGCGGGCAATCTCTGAAAGGTCCAACATTATTTTTTGCACGATGACGATTAACGATAATTTTAGGTTGCCCGACGACGCCGATCAAGGGTAATCAACGTCAGGATGACGGCGGAAGGATCGCGGCCACCGTGGAAGAGGCACTAGCGAGTCTCACGACCGAAATGGTGAGTATTTATTTATTTTATCGAACGATCGGACACAGAAGATACAGCCTAAGCAACAAATAATCATGTTAATATCGCTATAAAAATTGCATGCGAATAGATAAAATAAAATTTTTATTTAATGAACTGATAAAATGAACCATGTAGAATTACAAAATCAATTCTTGTAATAAAAAAAATTATTTTGCAATAATTATTATTTTTTCATATTTTCGTTTGTTTCAATAATTTTGTATTGCTATCGATGTAGTTGCGTCTCTATTAATTAAAGTTTAACTTTCATTTATAAAAAAATACGATATATTTAATTTGTATTTTTATCTCTATAGACAGTGAATGCTTTTTATAAACATAGTTGCAATTATAATATCATGATTATCCGCTGCCGCCGCTGTATATTCCCGCAAACAGACGATTTATACGAGATGGTAAGTTCGCTATCGTCAGTGGCCGATTGATCGAATTACTTAAACGTGTTCTTGTCGAATATAACCACAGGAATTATCGTAACCATTAATGATGTACAGTGACCAAAACCCTAACGAACCGGTATTCGCGCTATCGACGTCTTTAAGTTCGTTTTAACGTCCCCTCGAGTAACTGTCTTGGATTTCCCGGACGACCCCTAAGAACTGACTAATCCTCGAACCGCATGGAGCGTCCCAAAAGAAGCCAAATATCGTTATAAAATTTGAATAGTAGCATATGTTTGACAACGATGCCACTGTCGATATATTCTCGACACGTTTTACCGCTAAAATCGTGCGTGACAAACGCGCAGTATTCTTCATTACGCTGTAGCACGCACTTTATTGAAAAGTAAACAAACGTTTTATCGCAAGACACCGTCGACTGACGAAACACAGAAATATGCGCGCAAAGTATACACGTCAGCATGATTTACGTTAGCACGAATCGGTTTTCGCTTCTCGAAGAAACCGTGTCGAGTAAATCGGTAATATTCTGATATTATTCTACGGATACCGATGTTCTTGACAGAAGAGATCATCGTAGAGTATCGTTTACATAGAATTTAAAGAAGCAAAGTGCAACTCGCATCGTTTACAATTAATCGATATAGTTAGAACAGTTGGAAAATATTCGTCGATTTTGAGGTAAGAGAGAGAAACAATTATGAGCCACTCTCTTGTTAGAGAAGTTTTTTTTTTTTTTTTAGCTGAAATGAAATGAATTCTGACAGAAACGAACGGCTGCTTTGGAACGCTCTCTGCGAGAGAGTCAGACTGTCTGAACGCTTTGTCTATTTTCCTGAATCAGGAGATACTGCAGCGCGAGTGAAAATGCACGACTCTCATCCTCCTCCACTAATCTCCGTCACTTCGCGTGCAACGTGCTGTGGGTGATCTGCACCATCGTAGCGATGAGAATCTTCTGGGGTGAAAGTGAGAAAAAAAGAAAGAGAGAATGAGCGAATGAGTGGATGCGAGAAGGGGACATAGAATGATTACAGACAGCAAAGTACGCGGTTTAACCCTTGATTGGTCGCGTTGGAATAAGTTGCTAACTGTGGCCGATGCAATTTGCTTTTCAGGCTAATTTAACAATAGTAAGTTCGTTTCATTGTTGTCGCTATACTGGTACTTTATACGTCTCTCCTCTCGCAGGAGACTGTGCTTTATTTGTTAAAATTCTCTTGTCTCTTCATCATTTTTTAATTGCCTTCGCCTTTTGTTGTCACTATTATTGCTACTGGTTTCTCTCTCTTAATTGTCGTCGAGAAAATTTCTCCTGCTTTTTAGTTGTTCTTAATTTTATATATACGTATATATGCTCTCTATTTTTAGTACCTTAAATATTAAGGTATAAAAAAATTGCCATAAATATCTCGTATTATTCATTATTGTATAATTTGTATATATATTTAATCTTAGAAACACGACACACTTAATCGCACGACTACTTAAGGGTTAAAACGGAGGATAGCACGAATAGTTTCATCGAGGATCGAGGCGAATACGCGATTTGTTTTCAGCTCAAAATCTGAATAAATGACTTTTTGATTTTGACGACGCATTTATACTTCACTGTGAAATGTGATTGTACTTAATGCGATTTTCAATCGATCATTAAACGCGCATTTTCGATGTAAAGACGTTCGTCTCGGTCCGCGACTTCTATTATTAATCCGATATCGAGATGTATATCTGTACACATAAAAAAACAGGGGCGATTATCTCACTCGAGTGTGCTTCCCGTTATGATAAGGGAACACTTTCGATATCCTTATTATGGGCATCCTTAAAAATCTTCCTGGGTATAAAGAGAGAGTCAATATCATTGTAGTTACACATATTTAACAAGAACGTGATAATCGTCGGCCTACAGTACTCGATAACGCTTTTGACATTGCTGGAATCGACTTGGCAAGTGATTGGAATGTCATTTTTCCATTTTTAAACAACTTCATCGAAAAGCGTCGCTTTTCCATAGACTTTCGAAAAGACTGAGAATAGCGTAATTTTCAGTATTTTTATTATATCGGCGTAATAAATCTTTAATTAATATATGTCTTCATATATTAATTTATTTTATCAAAAAAAAAAGTTATTGATGCCGAAAGGATTAAGCTTTTAAAATTAGAAATTTATTTTTCAAAGCATAGAAAAGTAAGAAGACAAAAAGTACCAAGAAGTCTATCTAGCTAGGAGATATATTAAAATAAATAAAAAAAATTGTGAAAATTGTGTATCGAGAAAAGTAGAAAAAAATAGATGACTATAAGCGATTAGACACTAAAAGATTAAGAATTCTGAAAAATGGCATTTTATTCACTTCGAGACGTTTTCACGTGTATCTAACTATCTGCATATAATTCATTGGATCTTTTTCCTAATCGAGTCGTCGCCGTCGATGAATTGATATCGTAAAAGTTTCACTAAACACACGTGAGAGATCACAATGCAATAAGCATTATACCGATATTGAATTGATGCACGACGAGAAACGGAGCGATTGTAAATAAATAAAAATATGCTTGCGCATAGTGTTCGGCTAGCAGGAAGCCCGCGCGATTCCTTTTTATTGCGATATTGTAGTTAGTGTTATGTACATGTGTCTATATGTGTCTCACACGTTCTGTCTATCTCTGTATGTATCTATACATACACATATGTACACACACGCAGAGAAATGTGTACCGTGTATACAGATTATAAATACAACGTGCGTGTGTCGCAAAGGAACCGTCTCGGGTTGTTTTTCCCGAATTCTGATGAGCTTCGGATAGTACTGTTAATAAAATAGTCTGAAAAAAACAAGAGAAAGAAAGAGAGAGAGAAAAGTATTTTTTATATCCACGAATCTTGTCATGAATTTTTGATAAGGCATAGAATCCCTTGTAATGAATTTGATCCAAATCGTAGCAACGATATATTATAATTTTAATGGAAGAATCTAAAAGAATACTAACATTTTGTATAGAACAATATCTTTCCGTAAAAATATTTGAATTTATTTTCGCATGATAATTTTAATTTCTTGTTAAGACGATAATTTGTTCCCAAGAAAAAACTTTCCAATGTATAAAAGATAAAACTATCAGTAGATTAATACTGACAAGAATAAAAGCCGAGGCTATTGTGCTCTACAATGTAAGATTATATTATATATTATAGATGAGAGAGACACGTGATATATTCTGCTAAGAGACAAAAAAAGGAAGAAATTCAATATAAAGAAAAAGGTTGCAATGTTTTAGAAGTGTCCATAAAAAAAGAGTGTAGTAACGAATTCGCGTTGAGAGATTAAATCTGCAATAAAATAGATTTGGTTTAAACTTCTTCACGACGTATAATAATATCCGACGCTCATCAGAATCAGATTATACATTCGGAAATATTGCCTTGCCGGTGCTGTATTATATATATAATAATACGACGCGATGAGGACAATTGGTGAGGAAAGAAAGTTAAATTTCTAGTGCCGTGTACGCGTACAATACTTCGTAGTAGCAAAGCATTCAGATGTGTAAACGCGTTGCTATAATAGTACGTGAGAGTTATCGCGAACGTTTTGAAAAGCCAAAATGTTGTTCAATTATACGTATTATTATTATAAAACGCTTCTAAACAGTCGGTGTAACATAAATGATTGGCGGTAAAATCTCACCGCATCTCGGTAATGGAATTTGCGCATTGAGAGGAGAGAAAATCAAGCTCTCGTCTCGATATTTTATTCACGTAGCTTTCATTTTGCACATCGCTAAATACAATACATACATTCCTTCGTGTATTTTCACAAATACCGGGACCCGTATATATTTTAACAATGGAAAAGAAGCATTTAAGCGAATTTGATTGATTTCGCATTCTGATGAGAAATTTGATTTGTATCTGTTAGCAGAGACCACGTGTACAACGACAAATGAGAGTAATAATAATTAATGTTACAAATGATATTTTATGGGCTAGAGGGACTTGCTTTATCGGGCAAAGTCGATGAAAAATCCACGACGATTATTATTAAACGTTTTACCGTGGATGCAGATTTTACTGCCGAGATAGCTTCATGACACACACACACACAGTAGCTTTGTTAACTCGATATCCCCCTGGCGGGTATTACTATTATCGTAATTGTTAGGATCCCGATCCTATACGTAAATGTACTATTAACAACGTTAGCAATTTCGAAAGTGTGATATTTTTTTAACATATCCCCGGGAATTAAATATTTTGAAATCTGAATTGGCGCACGAGTAATTCTGATTGATTCGCGCGAACAATTCAGAAAGAATTATAGAAGATCATCGTAAAATCTCGAATGTGTGCACGAGGAAGATGCTGCGTTGCTTAAAAAATATTGAGATTATTCTAACATAATGTTCATGTTTTTTCTTTTTTTTTTTTTCGTGAAAATGATAAGAGACATTGTTCACTGTTTTGGAAGTTTCCTGTTTTAATGTGATTTTCAGCGATTGTCGTGCTCGAAAGTATCTCGTGCATGTTCCTCCTCGATTAATATAAATCTTCCCTGCTTGCAAACGCCAAATGGCATGTTATACGCAGATGTTTCTCTGTGTGTTTCGTGTGTGCTTATACAAAACTGACGTTAATATCGCTCGTGACATAACATCTGTTTTGTTAACAACCGTTAACAATTTTTCGACCATATCGTCGTACAGATCAATGTGCTTTGTCAAATTACAAATTTAGCAATCTCTCGTTTATTGTTACACAATTATCCGCCAAAGTATATCACTATCAATTAATGTCATGTTCTTTTTATCCTTTGATTTAATTTTTTAATTAAGGATACGATACATGACAATTTGATAATTTTACAACTAAGATTGATAATTTTAATTTTGGTAGACGATGTAACTTAAGGGTTATAATCGTCTCTCTTAATTGATACACACATTACCTCTCTATCTGTCTTTAAAATAATTAAAAAATTGAAATATAGTTTTAAATATTTTATTCTACAAAATTCTGGAAAAAATTTTGAAAAATACGCGCGCATTGAAACACGAGTAGATAAAAATAAATATAGCATAGCTTTCTTATTCGAATCATTCAGAGGCGAACCAGCCAAGACGGACAGCATCAATTGGAGCAAAGCACATCCTTTTCGTTTTATCGTCAAATCAGGACGAGTCTGAAGCGTGGTAGCTCGAATCACGTCGCGGTTATGAGGAACATGCAAAGAGTATTAAACATTCGACGTCGAGCACCATGACGCATGCAGAGTTCATCAGGATTAATATTATTTTTTAATCGAGATAAAATTATTTTTTAAATTATAGACGTCCGCGAGATCTTGAAATCAATAGAATTATTACATATGCGCATAAAATCGAGCACATCCAAAGTCTCAGATTAAATGTCGAATTATATCAAGACACGATGTGTAAAAAAAATTATTAATAATTTTATCATAAAGCTAATTGTATACAAAAATAATTTTAAACGCAAAATGCATAACATTGTTTGATATTTAAATTAATAATGTTCTTAATAATGTGTGATATATAAAGTTCTTAAATATGTGTGATATAAAAATAATATTGCAGACAATTATAATTAATTGATGAATCTGCAATTGTTCTTATTACAATTGTTCTTTAGATGTCATTTATAGATGCAACAATAATGCAGTTGAAATGCATTCATAATCTCAATAAAGTAAGATTGGAAATAAGAAACTAAAGATAAATATGTACTTAACAAATTTTCGCCATTTTATCTGCTCATTTAATTGTAGATACACTTCATGAATTCAATTATGTCATAATATTATTAAAGAAATAATGAAGGAAAAATACTTAGCTTTATAAAAAGATTTTTAGCTAACATACGCATGTATTACTCGCATAATTCTATGCGCGCTGCATTTATTTTATCAGTGAAGGCATGATAATCGCTGAGAATCAAAATCAAATTAAAAGTTATGTCGCAGACATTTATGATGTTATTTAATTGTGCAAATGTGCCAAGAATTCAAAAGGCAAGCAATTTAATGAAGACATGTATCTATCGCGATCTATTAATTCATGCGTCTCTTCCATTTCCGCATTTGTTTAGTTTATTCTATCATCACAAAGTGAATGAATTCTTTGTATTATTATACTTCAATTTGATCCGTCGAATAATATAATTCGATAATTTAAATAATATATATTCATAAAATTTTTAATCATTAAGTACTATCACTTTTCTAAATCACTAACATTAAAATAGGTTTACGGGTATGCTTGAATTTAATTTTGTGATAGTATTTAATGATTAATGATGAGATATTGAAATTATTTTTCAATTTAAATCTTTGTTTCTAATGACTCAGATTATCTCCGACACTAAAGAATCTTCATTACCAACTTACGCATTATTGTAAAACTTGAGAGAAAGAGAGAGAGAGAGAGTGAATAATGTATTATTATGTAATATAACCGTTTATATTTCTGAGTCTCCAATGTCTGCAAAATGTCTCTCAAATAGAAACTATATTTTCTTAGTTTTTGCATTTTTTACTGTTCTTTTGTATTATTTGTCTTCGGATATCAGACAACATTGCGACTGAAATGATTTCTGGATATTCAGGTGGATGTATAAATACACAGTATATATATCATATTTGAAAAATTGGGGATGGAAACTGGGTTGAGAAATCATATGTATACGGCAATAGATAGTGATGGACTAGTTGTATCGATTTTAAAGCTTGATACTTTATGCATTAGCTTAAATGAGATATTCGAGCGCTTTTTCCTCTTAATTGTTAACTAACTACAATCTTCGACGTTAGTGTGTTATTAGAAGGAATATTATTGCCAGTCAAATTCATGACACCTAGTCCATTTCTATCTGTCCGAAAAACTACCGTATAATAATGTTAATTAATTTCAGTAATGGAGCGATCCTTTAATTATGTTGTCATGAATGAATTGTCACTTAAGAATGTTTGGCAATATATAAAATATACATATATATTATTAATATTATTTAAATAAAATAATAATGATTATTTTTATGATTATCGCGATTATCGTCGCCGAGCGATTTACAATACTACTGATTCTCGTATACATCGCATATCATTATATTCTTTACTGGCATTCTTTACTGCAATAGCATATTTTTTATCATATTAAAGAGAGAGATTTAATATTATCTCACAAATGACGCTCTCTGCTAAGTATACCGAAATTTCAATCATTGAAATATGAACTGTTGACACGTTTTATCATTATGAAACATTAAATCAATCGTCTTAAGAAGATTATTATCTGTAATGTTTTATAATCCTTTTTATCCTCGATCCACTTTATTTTTGCTTTGTTTTAACGAGTTTTTTATCCTGGTTTTTTTATTTACTCCCTTTCAGACTCATCTATAAACGAGCGAACGGAGATAGTTATAGAAAAAGCAAAAAGAGAGCGAGAAAAATGATTGCGGGACACAAATATGACTGGCCTGACGGGCAGTTGGTGCATTTATAGAAATCTCTGGAATTAGTGTATGAAAAAAGCTTTAGTATTAAGTTCAACGTAAGTCCCAAACACGTAGCAAATAAGCAAAGTATGCTTGGAACTGACAGAGTGCTGTCGATATATCCCTTTTACACCGAGAGAAAAATTAGTTCGACTTTATATTCCACTTAGAATTTTTGCAAAATAACTCAAAGTGGTAACAAAATTTAAATTAGAAAATTATATTTAAATTTAATCAATTGTAAGTTATAGTTGCAATCATCTGCTGAAAAAATATTTTCCTCTCGGTGTCCTTGTTGAACATCTGTAAAGTCTTTAAGAAAATCTTTATTTATTTAAAAAATTATTCAATATAATCGTTCAGTTAACAATTATATTATATAAATGATAAATGATCGATGTGTATACATATAGTACAAATCTCGAAACGTTAGAAGATATTTCTTCGAGATATATCGCGCATATATAATTTCATATAATAATTACCAAGGCAATTACCCTTGTTAATTGTTTTCTCTGATTTTTGCCAAGCGGAGTATTGAAAAGATGTTTTTCGACTCGATGGCCTCGCTGCTGCTTTTGGCAACGAGTGCATTATGTTTAAGTTATTTATTTTTTTCTGCTACCGTGTACTGCCTCATGTACCAATTAAGATGTTTTTTTCGTGACTATATCGAGTACACGCAACGGGTATCACTTCCGTAAATTTATTTGCGAAAATTGCATTTGCATACTTTCACATCTCTATACTGTCTTTCAACATAGACCCTCTAAAGATCTTTCAGTCAAATCTTTTTTTCCTATTCTTATCATTTCGAAATAATAAAATCACAATTATTAAGCTGCGAATATATAAATAAACGGTCGAGCAGCGGTGTTTTACTTACAGATCGTTTGATTAAAGTGCATGTGTGTCTCGATCGCGGAAGATAGTTTGTCATTTGATAGCGTGCACGTTTAGATGTGTTTAACACATAGTGGATGTATTTTCGGGGAAATATATCCGCGAAACGTGAATGAGCAGAGATCGTAAGTGCTGAGATACAAATTGCAGGGGAAGGTGTTAGCGGTAACTAGCAATTACCTCAATTGATCTTGGCATAGATATTTTAATAACGAGACTTGCCTCAATTGCCACGAGTTAATTGTCATAATAGACGCAAGTTTCTATCATGTGTATGCGTATCTCTGCCATTGAAACTATTGAATCCGTCGCGATAATTGCGTTCTCATTCCATATGCATAAATACGCTGTCTCGAAATTCTTGCATCATTCTTGTACATTCTTGTATAAATCTGAGCATTCTCAGTCTTTTCCGCAATTTAGCAAATTGTTACGTACGATAATGAAGTGTTAAGAATTCCGTGTACATATAATTATTACAAAAGAAATTAATTGGAAAAACATTCCTTTTCCGATCCCGTAATCTTTCAACGTTTCCCAATTTTTAATTCGAGTTTAGTATTCTGCGTTATTGTAAATAAATATTATTTTTTCCGTGTTTCTCGTTTACGCAGTATTAAAATCATTCTTCTCCGAAAAATGTTCACGCGAATGGCACGGCAGAAAACGCTCGTAATTCACAAATAGTTTGAGAATAGATTTTAAATTTTAAAAAAAGTTGAGTAGAATATAAGTACAATTATGCAATAATCGAGGAAGATAAACAATGAGAAATATACGGTTATTGATCTTTCATGAGTGAATGTCTCTGTTATCTTTCTTTAGTCTTTTTACTCTAATACAAAATATTTTAATAATACATTATATCAGAGTGATTAATATTGTAAATAACTAAAATGACAAATTGCAAAACTAAAAGAATTGTCACATATAAGAAGAAATTGTACTATTTTAAATAATAAATTATATTAATTAATTATAGTGTTGTACGTTATTTTTCATATAAATTTAAGAAAAATGTGCAATTTTTGTTGCCAAAAAGTACTACTACTTTAATGATTTAATTATTCAATTAGTACAACACGCGAATGTTATAGAATGAGAGGCCAATAACCATAGATATTATACATATTGTGAAAAATTAATAGTATTTAAAATAGTAATAAAATTTAATTTTATATATATATATACATAGATATATATGTATATAAAATAAATATTATACAAGAAAGAATCTCATTACGATTTCACGTAACAATTAAAATGTAATCTGCGTTATGCGTGATATTTATGTGTGGACTCTGTGCACTTGAAATCGTATTCAAGTGTCGCTTCCGATGTCCCATATGTACACATTTACAGAAAGATATTATTTGCATGTATAAAAAAAAATAGATATATTTATATATGTATATGTATATAAAAAAATGACGCACCTATCCAAATATAGATTACAGAATGCCCGGCAACAAGCGTATTTCGCGTGAATAAATTAATATTTTTCACACTGTAGAGTGAAAAAATTAAAAAAAAATGTGTCGATATATTAATTCCTTTTTTTTCATTGCAAGCTATTAAAAATAAAGAGCGGTTTCATGACAATGTAATATTATGTTCATCACAAATACGCTTGTTATCGTACAATCGCTGTATGCGCGCGATCGTGCGTGGTGTCTTGCAGTTTCTTTTTTTTTCTTGCGATATTATCGCGATATCTCGATACCTCATTAGGCGGATAGTTTATTCCAGCCCACTGATGTACGATAACGAAGAATAAATTATTGTTGCGTCTTATTTATTTATAACGGAAATGATTTCATTTTTTTCTATTTGCCCGTCAAAAAGAGTCCCAAGTATCTTGTCACGTAAAATAACGCTATTTCATTTATCTGTTCATATCAGCTTAAACACAGATTAAGTCTTGAATCGCTCTCTGTGAGATTATAACGATGAAAATATTACTGCGGAAAAGAAGGTGAGTATGCAAAGCAATATAAGAATAATAGCATGAACACGCAAAAATTTATGTCATATAATTCACATTACAATGCACTTTAGCACAACTTCGCTTTCAAAGTTTATCTATTCAAAGAGGATGTTAGTATAATTAGAGTATTTATTATCATTAAATATTCCGTGTTAAGAATCGACGAATTTCAAGTCATCTTTGATTTTACGATGTCATTATTGTTATTACTTTAATTAGCGTGAGCCTATATAAGCGTTGAAAAAAGCTATCGCGAAATTAACAAAGTACAACAAAGCAGAAGCTAACGAGATGGTTAAGATGACTCAGCTTACCCATAAAGGCTGACATCGAAGCAAAATTAGGACAGAGTTTAAATCTGGCTGCAATATATTCTGCATAAGGTAAGTATTATTTCACAACATATACACAATATATTGCAAATTGGTCGAACGAATAAAATCTCAATAAGATTATTGATTTACAAGGTAAAATTAATCGATCGTCGAAACGCTGAAAAATATTTGTACGGAGTAATTTAACTTTCACCCAAAGTATTTCGGACACAAAAAAATACAGTAGCACGTTATTATATAACGCGCGATCCCGTTATAGATGTATTTTCTCGATATTTTTTTGCGAGACCTACTTTTTTAAAATTTCATATAAATATTAAGTGATCTCTAGGAAATAAGCAACCAGTTTTTAATCCGAGAATAATTCTTTCATTAGAACCGTAATTATCATAATCTCGATAAGTAATTAGTCCTTTTGCCAAGCGAGACGATGATCGCGTTTTCCTAATTTGTAACGGACCGTAAACGCGTGCTTTCTCAAATTGCCTGTACTAGTTTCTAGATCCATATTCATCTTTTATGCAGCAATAAACCATAAATGGACAACAAAAGTATTACTCTCATCAGAATAGAATGCGAGATTTTTTTATTCAAAAAAATTAAGATATATATATATATATAATACTTATATGTCATTTTTATTTTCGGAAATACTGTATGTGATTTGGAAATCTATCAATTATATCAAAGAAATGTACATTTTATCATCGTATATGTTTCACGTTTCACTTTAATTGTCTGAATAAATAATCAAATGGAGAAAATAAATATATATATAAGACAATAATTATTTTTAAATCACGAACGAGGTTTTGATAACACATAACAAGCTTAAAAATATAGCTTACATTTTAAATATATATTCTAGTGCGCCGTTTTTAGATCGCTTCGACGAGCGTGACAAGCTCGTATTTATCGATCTCTTCGTATGATCGAATGTTTAAAAAGCGTACTCGAGCAAGTGCTTCGAGAGACCCGGCCGTATATGAGTCAAGGCTGTCGAGAGACCCTTACCTACTTTTTCCTTATATGGTACTGAATCGGACCGATGACTGTAACTGATGAGATATAACGGCCGATCTTACGCAAAATGCACGATGCGATTTTGCGCAAAAAAAAAAAAAAAAAAAAAAAAATTCGTGCAAATTAGACGCGGGAATTTCGATTTTTATTGCGAATCTTCCGTTGTGCAATGCGTATCGTGTAAAAATGCTTATTGTAGAAAATTGCATTCGTCACAGACGCAAACAGGAAAAAAATGCAATTTAACATCATTCGATTTCGAGGCGAATTAAATTAGTAATTGCTCCTAATCAATTTGAATCATTGTTACGCGTTTTTAAAGGGAAGAAGAAAAGCGCTGTCCGAGTTTATAGCAGCTTGACCATGACACGAGTTGACTCAAGGAGATCGGGTGAGGTACCTATAAATTGACCCCAATGCCAAAATTACCAGCGTGGTTGATTCCTAACATTCTTATCGAAAATGGAGGTATCGTTTTCGAAGGTTTAAGTCAACCTTCTCTCGCTATTGTACTCTCACTCCATTTATGGACAATAAATCGATCGTGTTAAACGTCACTCGCGACTGTGATAATTTTCCTCAAGTGAATGATTAAGATCAGAGTAAACAATCATATGAGATAATCGGTTATATGTATATGATCAAATTGATGAGTAGATGAAATGCAATGAATCAATCAAAATATAATATATATATTAATAAAATTAATATATTTAAAAGATCTCTCGTGTTTATTTCGTTTGACGTTTCTGTTTTATACGTGTTATATATTTCATTTGATATCCGGTTAAATTACTATTTGTTATTTCTTAAATTAGACTTTATCTTAACAGACAGTTAAGATAATTCTAATCGAACGATAAGTGATTACTCACATATATAATATTAAAAACACGCGACGTATAATGATGTTAATCTTCTCATGAAAAATTAATATTCTAAAATGATCATAGACTATATAGGATGCGCAGTTGGAAATAAATTAGACTCGAAAAAATGGTACTACTTCTTCTAAGTCTTTCCAAGTATCGTGTCTGAGGAATTCGCTTTGCGACTTTGACTTTGCCCGAGTTTCGCGGACGCGATCGAGATTTTTCCGTTCGCCATGTCGCTTTTCGCAACAGCTGAAACGGTCCTCTCCTCGACACGCAAGCAACATCCGTCGTTCGTGATCTAAAGATAATCCGCGGGCGGTGGCCGGTGTACATTTTCAGAGATCCGTACCTACGTAAAAGATATCCGCACGCATCGGAGGGGGTTGACGTACGACGATGGTAGGGATCGCAAACGGCCCCTACGTCGTCCTCGACGATCTCGAGGAGCACCGCGAGAAGGTGGGAGCCACGACGAAGCGAGCTCTCCGAGCGACTCTGTCGCCCAGTCGTGACTTTGCCCGCAGGTCGAACGCATCCCGGACGACGAGAAATACGAACGTGAGTACCTGCTAGTGAGTAACATGTGTTCTCTGGAGCACGTTTTCGGAAGAGGCACCCGCCAGAGAGTAAAGAGAAGAGAGTCTTGTATGAAAGGAAGTGTGACATTCGCCTGCAAATTCGCTGTGCTAAGTGAGATTTTCGCAGGGACCATGGTTTGCCGTGGCAACGAGTTCAGCAGAACAACCTGGTTCTTACGTAAATGTCACTTACTGTCGTTTACATACATTTCACGCTTCGACGAGATTCCAGTCAAATTGAGTAAATGCGAAGGATGAATCGTGAGAATCCGTGATAGTTAAGCTTGGTATGTATAAAAAAGGCTTTCTCACGGGAGGAATTTTACAAGGTACAACAAGACTGGATACTTGTGAAGAACGGATTGCCTGTGAATCTTCAACTCGGCGGGGATTCAATTTTAATGCACGTAGCGATTTGTATTCGAATGCGGAATGCAGGACTGTTCTCCATTTTTTTAAATAGAAACTAGTATTCTTGCATTTATATTTCAAAAGGAGACAGTTCGATATTAAATAATCGAGGTACTAAAATGGTTTCACGCAAAAATAGTAGATTGCTAGGCAAATCTGAAATTAACGATGCCTGAAGCTTGATGTTAGATGTCAGTTTTAACTTAAACTTGCAAATTCTAAAGAACGGATAAGATTTAAAACAATAAGAAATATATTGTAAATCTCTGGTTGAAACTTTGTAAATTACATGCTTGACTTATTTTACAACTAAAACGTGTAAAACAATTTAGAACAATCTAAAGAATCGTATATAAATATTTTTATAGCTAAAGCCAAACAATTTTTTTGATCAAAAGATCTTTAACAGAATCTTAACTTGACTATGTCTGTAGATATAAACGATTACGTACCGTCTCATTTAGGAGTTAATCATCATTGAACAATAAGTGACGTTGTATATGGATATAATAAGGAGTGAAGTAATTCAATTATTTCATCGAGCAAGATTATCTTCATTCTTATTTTGGAACTCTCGATGGGATCATCATTAGTGATTATCAGATGTGTAAACAAAAATTTGAGAGTTCCTTAAAAAGTATAATTCATGTTTCAATCAATTATTTTATTATTAAATTATATTATTTAAATACTTAATAAAAAAACGACCAATTTAAATCTCTGATTTATATAAGTATATATAAAATTTATTTTAATTAAATAATTTTATATCCGCGATAAAAAATTGGCAAAAAGAGGCAAAGAATTTCACAAAAATATACCGCGATAATAACGGGTTGCCATAAGCCGGGAGGCGCTACCGGAATGCAGTGACTCATAACAATTTTTTTCGCATAACGACTACGACAGTATTGTTCAGAGTTCCAATCTCATTTCTTTGTCGTATAGACGAATTTTTTAAAGGTATTTTATTAAATCGCCAAGTTAAGTTTCACCCAGAAAATAAGCTAGCGTTACTAATAAATTGCACGCCATCTTATACAATAAAAGTACCAATATCATGTTACCACAAATTACATATAATTTTAGAATTATGTTATATTCATTACAATGCTGCGAGTGTCGCGTTTAAGACCTTCGTGTGACAATTTTCAGATAAAAGCGTAAATTTCTCTATTATTTGCAATCCGGCAAAAAGTTTAAGTTTAATAGTTAAAATTAAAAATTGCAAAATCATTTTCTTAAATCGTATCATTAACGTACTATGTAAGAAACTTCTCTCTATGGAAAAAAATTAAGAGAAACTGCTACGTAGTATCCAAAGAGAGAACTTTTAAAAGTCAGCACTTTTTTTTTACCTCTTGTTTTACATAGCTCTTTTACAACGGGATAATTAAATGTTCCATATTACAGTCCGATAAAAAAATAGCCGATGATTCGGCACGAACACGATCATTTTTCCTTCGTGCGTAACAGGATACCGCCAAGCTAAGTCACTCGGTTGGTGCGTTTAGGAGCCAGCGATGTTCGCTATGCATAACCCGAAATGGCTTGGCCGACAGCAGGCGGCTACGATTTTCTCGCCCTCCTCTCGCTCTTGATACGTAAAAATAACCCTCGGTCACGATACGCGAGTTTTTGGATCGGGGAAACGCGCGTCTCGACAAATCAAATTTCGCTGGTCCTTCTCGCGATCCAATTTTCAATTTACATCGCAATTTTTTTTATCATTTATATTTAGTCGTTTATTACGATGAAAGATGAGAGAAATTTCTCGGAACTTTGATTTGCAAAATATTCTGTACACCGAAACGCAAGAGAAGACAAACTCAACGAAACTGATCCATATCTCATCACTTGTTTCGTTTCAACTAAATATGCATAAATATTTATAAAATCGATATAAGATTATTTTGCGACGTGGCACGTCTCATTTAGCTTCGCAGAATCTTTCGGCTAGAATTTCTGCTTCTTTGAACATCATGTATACGAACTTCATTTCTCTTTCGTCCCCTGCTTATCCAGCATCTCTGATTACCAGCTAGCTTGGAATCCTGCGCGTATTCACATGGCAAGGATGCAGAGATGCAGTTCGACTATGCAATTGCAGTGGCGCAGGCATAGGATTCCTATAGTTCTTTGACGGCTATTTCAACATGCAATTTTGATGTGAAATGTCGATTTTTCAAAGCTCGTTTCATTTTAGATTTATATCATTCGTAACATCTCGTATATTTTTCCATTTATTGTTAGCAAAATGCAAAAATCAATAATAGCTCTTTAGAAAAAAATGAGAAAGATGAAATATTTGTGCAAAATAATAATGACAATAATAATAGAAATAACGTTCAAGCGAAAAGTAACAAATCAAATTAAATTATTGCATCAAAATTCCAATCAAATCATTTCATATCACTATATCCATCTTCGCCAGATCATTTGACATTTCTCCTTTACGCGCAAAATGTATCCCAATGAATCGTCCCGTCATTGAATTTCAAATAACGTAACGATACCGTCTGAGGACGGTGTCTCTTCGCCGGTTATTCGTGGCTACTCGTAAAATGATTTCGTCGAGGGAGGTAAATGACGCGTGTTGCGTCCCTGGCGCATCTTCGTCCTCTCGGTCGCGTCGTAAAAAAACGTCTCGTCGTTCAGGAACGGCTGTATAAACTACGGATGCAGTCGCGACGGATTTTTGTTCCCGCACACCGGGAACCCGCATACCTGAGCAACGTGACATCACGGAGACGTTTGATATCGCGCGCTTACAAGCGAGTCTTCCTTCATCGGCCCGGGCCTTCTTCAGCGAGAAGCCCAGACTCTATAAATAGGATATCCGGTTGCTCGCTAATTATATACGCCTATATACACGCCCATTTACCGAATGGCGAATCCGCCCGGAATTTTCTCAATCGCGACCTAAAGAATTCTTATTTTCCCGCGTTTCCTTCCTCTTAGCCTTGAAATGCTATCCTGAAAATAACGGACCGTGCGAGAGAACAATCATAATACCTTATGGTCAATATATTGCGAAGAGGCACCAGGTCGCATTCCTTCTCGGACAAAGAAAATTACTACCCGCAAAAAATAGAGCATAGCTCATCAAAACGTCTCAAGATATTCAGTTAGATGCAAAATGAATAATGAAAAGAAAAGGTTCTCGACGTTAATTATATGCCTGTAGCTAATTATCACAGTGTAATCAATGGTAATTTCTTTCCGAGTCATTACCGAGTAAAGTTTATAAAAATTGCTTAAATGTTAGGTATATTTTTCGATTGATATAATATTTAAGTTTAATACAATATATTTTTTAAATATCGTTAATATTAATAAATATAAATACTTGAAAGAACGTGCGAATTTTCCCACGCAACTTCCATGTTATTTGTTTCTAATCGTACTTTTTTATTCGATGCTGCAGATTTACTTCTAGTGGACGAGTGAGAAGACACAAACACCACCATGGACGCGATCAAGAAGAAGATGCAGGGCATGAAGCTGGAGAAGGACAACGCGATGGATCGCGCGTTGCTCTGCGAACAGCAAGCTCGCGATGCAAATGCACGAGCTGAAAAGGTACAAATACTGAATAAGAAAATAATTTTTTTATTCATCATACAAAATAAATGTACGTAAAATTTACTTTTCAAGTAATCGCGACAGTTTTAAAGTAATGCCAAAAGATAATAAAATAATGTTCACTCACACAGGCTGAGGAAGAGGCTCGTTCTCTCCAAAAGAAGATCCAGACCATCGAGAACGAGCTTGATCAAACTCAGGAGGCTCTTATGCAGGTCAACGCGAAATTGGAGGAGAAAGACAAGGCTCTGCAAAACGTAAGTCAAGCAAATTAATATTGTTTTATAATATGAAAAAATATTCGGCATTGTCGCCCAAAATCTATTCTACACTCAACTCAAGCGCGAGAAATAAGTTATGTAAATTATTTTAGTTCAGCGATTGGTCATGAAGATCAAATATTTGTACATTTCACGCTGGACGATATTTATACACTTTCCAAGATATTCGTAAATTTTTTCTGTACACGAGACTTTATAGATGCCTCTATAAGACTATATTTATTCAACATTATTGATACGAAATTCGGAGAACATTCCAAGAATCACAAACCTTGAAAAATGCAAAGAGGAATATTTTTTTCGAAATTCGCGTAATAAAATCTCTTATCGAACAACAATTTTTAACCGAAATACATATAAGAGAAATCTGAATTCGTAGAAAATAAAATGTTAACGAACCTCGTACGATCGAAGGAAGGGAGAGGGGACCTCTTGACCAAAAAATTCCGCGGGAACGCAGCATCCGCGGTCCAAATGAAATTACCGACAGTTCTTAGTACGAGCGCGCGCTGACAGATGGCGCCACCGCGGCCGCGCAAGCGCGTCCACTCGTCCTTCAGCAACAAACGGCTCAGTCCGCTCGTGATACGCGCCACTTCCGCGTCGTCCGCTCGGGAGTCTTCGGCTCTCCCTACCCCCACTCCGCGCGTTGGGGGGGAGTCCGCTGTGTGCGAGCGAGACAGACGACACACAGTGCAGCCAGTGCGCGGCGCGGTTCGACGCGTCTCGTTTCTCGTGCATCGTGCGCGTATGTGGGTGAAAACGATATCACATCACACCGGCACACCACCGCGAACGACGTCCCGTGACGCGCGGGCAAAAACGTGCGCCGCGATCAGTGACAGACAAAATGGCGGAGCGCCTGGTGCAGTGGTAAGTAGCAGCGGTGCGTATCGCGCTGACTGCGTCAATTGCAACGTGCGTGGAGGAAGGTGGAGGGGTATAGATGTAACGCGAGAGAAGCCCGAGAGAGCACGACGCGAAAACAGCTGGACGGTGTAAGCATGGAACGGGCGCTCTCGACGACGACGAGACGTCGCGGTCATCAGCATCATCCGCGACACACCACGCGACGACGTCTCGACGCCTCCAGCAGAGGACCCGCGCAGTGTGGCCCTGCTGGTGCAATCAAAGACGCTACCGAGGACGAGACGTCACTCGCCGGGGTGACCGTCGACGCGATAGACTGCCGTCTCAGTTCCCCCGTGACGCGTGTCACGCTTGACACGAGATGGTCGGCGAGGATCGACGAGACCGAGGACACGAGGACTCGGATCGAAGAGAAGGATTTTAAAGAGGATGACGTCCGACAGAGGCTCGCGCAGTGTAGCCCGGACGTTCCCGCGCTCGGCGAGAGCAGGGATACTTGCGAGAACAAGGAGTCCCTCCTTGTTCCCGACGAGGAGAAGGCTCCCGAGGATCGCGAGAGCAGCGAGCCCGAGCACGCGGTCGCGAGGGCTCGCGGAGACGGGAACTCCGACGACGAGTCGAGCAACGTCGAGGAGGACCCGGAATTGGCGGAGCTGGCTAAACTACGTTGCCCCAGCGAACGTGCGGAGGTTCAGGCCGAGAGAGAAGCCCGGAGACGGAAGAGATGCGCCGACTATCCCGGGCTCGCCTTCGGCTGCTCCATCTTCTCCAGCGACACGATGATGAAGTTCAGTTTGATTAAGAACGAACTGCAGAATATCATGGGCAATCAGCTGAAGCGGGTCAGTATCGCGTCGTAAGACGATATGAATGACAAATGTGCCGCTGATATACTTATATAGGTAAGCGCGATCAAGGTCGTCACGTGGCGAGATTGATAGCGACCTTGATGGCGCCGGTCAAGAGGTCCTCGGGGTCACGTGTGATAACGAATTCAGCGCGTAATCAATTATTCTCAACAATTTTCCTTTCGCTTTTTACAAATATCTCAAATGTCGAAATTGAGCTTGACATTTGGAAAAATTTTTAAGAGCATCTTTTTTTTAAAGAGAGATTAATCGAACAATAGAATGCAACATGGATAAGAAGGCAGTAAATCATTCATTGATATTAATATGATATAAATTAATCCAATTATTCATTCGCTACTCCGTTAAATTATTAATTACATTTTTTATTATCTCAAATATTTATATTACCTATCTCAAAAAATAGAGATATGTAATCTGCAATACGTGAAATATTTTAATATTTCGAATTTTACCTGACAATGACATAAATATTTGAGATCAAATGAAAACTATGAGAATACATAACTATATAATCTAATAGGATAGCAAATAATTTTGTTTAACGATACAAAAATTCGAGTAACAGATGAATATATGAATATTCAGAAAAATTATATATCCTCCTTCAATACAATTAAAATGTTTAAAAACGTTAATGAGGTAAACTTTTAATTTCAAAAAAAATATTTAAATTTCTTTTAGTCTTTTACAAAAATAACTTTCTCTCATTTAATATTTTTTTTATTCTTTCGATATATTTGATATATTCGATTGAAATCACGACAGTGTATATAAAAAATCTTAATTTGATTTCATATCATTGATCACAATAATTATCATTCGTATGTCTTTCGCTTATCGTTAATATTCTAGAGACCCAGGCTGATCATATACACACATGTGCATTGATAATATTAATAATGATAATTAAAATTCCACCAGAAGAAACGTTTCGGGCGATAGCCAAGAGAGTTCCTAGAAAGGTTAACGATGCGTTAGTTAGTGCGAGATCTCCTCTTGGCGACGAGCAGCATTTATTATTAGGGTTACTGAACGGGGACAATGGGTTACTTGCACACGGTTCTCGTGCTCAATATACCGGTAGAAAGCCGTCGTAAATTAGATAATGCATCATGCATTGTGTCTGCTCTAACTCGAAAACATTTGTTGGATCACTTGTTTTTTAATAAATACTTTTACGAAATTCTCTCTCAAATCGAGATCTTAGGAGCAAATTTATCAACTTTATTTTTTATAAATATCGCATAATTAATGCTCTAAAATTAAAAAATTTACAACGAGTGTTGTTGATCAGTTTGACATTCGAGAGATTCATATATGTGTATATATTCTATTGAAATTTTATCAATCAAGTTTTAAATTTTGCTTTTTATTAAATAATACATATTGATTTCGAATTCAAAAATCTTGGCTAGCTTTCTCTGCATTTCTTCTTACGTTAGAGTAGAAATCGACACGTCATGTCTTTCATGCTCATGTCAATTATAATTCAAGCTTAAACGTTTTATTTGGTTTCTTTCCTCATCGTATAAAGCATTACGCGTTATGAATTTTTATTTGAATAGGATGTCAATCTGTTCGCTGCAATTGTTTTCGTAATTTTCTTTGTGTATTCAAAGCTCGTATGTGATATCGCTCTGCGATCCATATTTATTAATTATTATTTATGAAAAATCATTTATTAAAGATTATAACTATTATTAAAAATGTATGACACATGTACAATACATGAATCATTGATTAAAGGTGAAAGAAATGTTATCACGCATCCGTTTTCGGAAAAATGCATATTTTTTTCGTAAAGTTGACATTAGAAACTCTATGAAATTTTATCAATTGTATCTGCTCGAAGAGAGATACAAGAATGAACGAATTATCTATCTTGATTTTAGAAGAGTGTAAAGTACTTAATAATAACTAGAATTGAAAAAAAAATCCAAAGCAAAAATATCTCTCGTTTGCGTCAATATCTGCATTACGTTAAAGCATATCAACCGCGTATAATGGAGTACACCGCATTTACGGTATATCGAATCACAGGATATTGAAGGGTATTATATTATATGATGCTCTCTCTTCGATGCCATCCGGGATCGTGACACTAATCTCACTTATAGCGCACAAAACCAGTTTCGAGAAAAAAAAATAACAGTAAAGAGAAGATAAAAAAAGATCTTTTTATTTTTACTATAGAATTCTTTATCGGGAAATATTCTGCTTCTTGACTTGAAAATCTTAACACGTTAAAATGTTAAAGCGTTAAACATTTAAAGTTCGTTAACGAGCTCTACTTTTATCGCGAGAATTAAATTTGTTCTAATAATCTGTCTTTATTATCTCTTGCAATGCCAATAATATCCAATTAAATAAAGTCTTGACGATGATTGACGCTTCTTACTGATTGTTGTCATCGAATAATGGGAACGGATCCCCTACAGGATGTTCCTCTCGACGATGCTTTCGTCATTTCTTTTTTCTCTAGGGCCCCGCCCTTTTACATATGAAATTCGGCACGTCTGCATAATCTAACACGCAGTTCGTCAACATTCTAAAAATACGGTCGTGATCCAGCGAGACTTTTATTCGGGACCACGAGATCGAATTGCGTAAGCTCTCTCAGAGAGTCTGTATCTGTGAATAAATCCGACTCGTTATGTGTGCCTTGAAAATCGTTGAAATATCAACTCTAGTGCAAAACGCCTACGCGATCTCAAGAATATCGAACATACGGCGATTCTATTCCGCATTTCGCGAACAAAAATTTTCCAGTATTTCTCTACTTGGTTTTATTTTTTAATTAATTAAAATAATCGGCTACTAAAATAATTATTTTATTTATTTTTTGTGAAATAGATATTTTATTTTCTGAGAATGTGAATATATATATTCTTGAATGCTAACTCCATTTTATTCGGACTCTAAAAATGTGAAAAATGCAAGAACCTATTCTATTTATATTTTCTAATTATAGATATATATTCTATATATATTCTCTATTTACTTATATTTTCTGTATGGGATTTGTGTTTAAGGTTTTGTCAGGCAATTTCTTCCATCATTTTTTACATCTTCATAACTGACAAAATATTTTTTAACGGCGTGTCGAATTTCTGCATGACGATGCAATTCTTCATGCTGTTAAAAAAACACGTGCAGCAATTTAGAAAATAAATTAGGAAATTCTTAGACACACAATTTTGATGTTATATCCTCAGATTTCTACTTGAAAAATTGTCTTGTACAATAGAATTCTTTAAACAAAAAACTTTTTAAACAGAGAAAAATCTTTTTGTATTTCCTTTTTTTCTTTCTTGGAATTTCTCAATAAATATATATTTTTAGTATAACTTCACGTATTTTTTTCAACAGCATACAAAGTTGCTGTGTTATCATAAAAGTTCAATACTTCGAGCAAAAATGTCGACACGTTTCAACCAAATATCTTCTCGGAATTTTCACAGAGGTTGGCATGCAACGATCAACATAATCGAATTGTTGCATACATCTGTATATCCTTGATGGATTTTTAATCAATAAGCAGTTTTGAAAATGAATAATAAAATATACAGTAACAATAAAACGTTAAAGATTTGCTACTCGGACGTGAGTCTGTTAAAGTTGCATGTTTCAAACCATGTGGCAATGTTAGTATATACTCTATTTTTGAAACTTTCCTCGTATATCTTTCAAAGAATTTCTCTGACGACGCGGTCCACACGTCGAGGAATTATGCTTTAGACATCGCGTTAAAGGAAAAAAATATCAGTGATCAAAGATGCATTAGCGTAAATTCGAAAACAGCCGTTTATTTATATACAAAATACGCTTAAAGAATTTGAAACGCGCGCTAATTTAATTTTACTTTATCGCGCGGTGACCTTTGCAGCTCTTTCTCGTTGCTATTCCCCTCGTCGTTCTCTTATCAGTTGATGTTTCCCCGTTGCATTCCGCAATTTCTCGCTGTTTCGACACGCTACCATCTACGATCGATGTTCACGGTTTACGACAAATGGACGTTCTTTCTTTGCCAGGTGAAAGTCAGGATGACGTTCGCGACCATGCAATGTTTTGCGAATTACTCTATAAGTCTGTATAGGTTCTTTTCAATTGCATCTTTACTACGTTTTTTGCTTTGTAAGTTAAAAGAAGACGGAGGGGAAATCAGTAACTGGAAAGAACAGACTTTATAATTTCTTGCACACATCATGATTGGATCAATGCCAAGTTGAATACCAAAGGAACAGATGTGAATATTTCTTGTTGAAGTTTTGCATTACGGAACTAACGCAATACGACGAATGAAATATTTGTTTAACAAATATTTTCTGTAAAAATAACATTACAGATCCATTGTATTTATTTGATTTCGCGAATATCCTCGCAAAATAATAATAAAAAAATGTTACACAAACAACGAGATGCATTTAAATGAAATGGTTATCGTGTAGAAGTAATAATATCCGTTAATTATCAAGCATTGTAAAATTAACGTTGTGTGTGGTAATGTTTGGAATTATTTAGCATGAAATTAGCAACTCAAGAAAAACAACTTCGTGCAGAAAGTTAACTATTATTATATTATAATTTATATATACAATATTATAATGGTATAGAAATTTAAAAAAATTTTTTAAAGACTTTTATTTTCTTCGAATTATGTAATATATTGTGAAAATTATATAAAATTAAATATTGAATTGAGATTAATTTAAATTATGTGAAATATATAATCGAAAACATAATCGGCGATAACAGATATTAATAATGATCGCGTGCATGTTGCGACTTTAATTATAAACCAACGGTATATCATAAACTGTAAGTTTTATACGGAGTTACGCAGAAGTAGAACGGTAGAATATGGTTTCAATATAATGTGCGTTATTCATTGTATTGTGAGATAGCGCATATTGTGGAAACACGCAGTTATAACAAACGCAATGATAAAAGTTGCAATTGGAATTCTAATT